TTTTTGTTCCTGGCTTATAAATGTCATTTCCTAATTGGTTCTGTCATAAAAACATGGAAAACATTTATCAAATTGCAAAAACTTTGTTTTTGTGGGACATCCTGCAGCACATTTGGCTATAGTTTTTGAATGAATGCCTCATAGAGTCTCAACCAATTCAACGGCAGCCACAAAAATGAAGTTATTGAAGACTACTTTCAAAGAAAGTACAGCACAATTAAACAAGAAATAATAATAATAATAATAATAATAATAATAATAATAAGCAGAGGCATAACACCATTGCTCAGATGATCAATTGGAACTTATGCCACAAATACCATCTGCCTGCAACAAAGAACTGATGGGATCACAAGCCTGAAAAAGTTACAGAAAATGAACACGTCAAACTACTCTGGGACTTCCGAATTCAGACTGACAGAGTTTTGGAGCACAATACTCCTGACCTCACGTTCATGTTAAAAAACAAAGTATGGATTGTGTTGCAATCCCAGGTGACAGCAGGATTGAAGAGAAACAACTGGAAAAGCTGACACGATATGAGGATTAAAGATCGAACTGCAAAGACTCTGGCACAAGCCAGTCAAGGTGGTCCCAGTGGTGATCGGCACACTGGGTGCAGTGCCCAAAGACCTTGGCCTGCACTTAAACACAATCAGCGCTGACAAAATTACCATCTGTCAGCTGCAAAAGGCCACCTTACTGGGATCTGCACACATTATTTGCTGATACATCACACAGTCCTAGACACTTGGGAAGTGTCCAACGTGTGATCCAATACAACAGCCAGCAGAGTGGTCTTGTCTGCTCATCTTGGTGTGTTTCAAATAATAACAACAACTTTATTATATAGCTGTGTAGAAGGCCCCTGGGTTAACTGAGTCCACACTGCCATATATTCCGGTTCAAAGCAGATATTTTGGGATTTCCTGCCTTGATATTCTGGGTTATATGGCTGTGTGGAAGGCCTCTGTGTTACTTGAGTCCACACTGCCATATATCCCAGTTCAAAGCAGATATTTTGGGATTTCCTGCCTTGATATTCTGGGTTATATAGCTGTGTGGAAAGGCTCTGGAACCCATTCATTCTATGTATGTACTTATAACTTCCCCTTTAACTTGGGAGTCTGATGACTCACAATCCCAACCTGAGGAATCTTTTCCCCCCCAAAGCCCCGCCCCTTCTTTATTCTCCCCACCCGCAAGCCCCGCCCACCAGCCATTGATCATGGCCTCGGAGCCCCGCCCACGACGGGCCAAGCCCCGCCCACCGCTCTCCTTTCTGCCCCCGCCCTTCTTTCCTTCCTCCCTTGCTCTCTTGCTTCCTTCCAGCTGGGGAGGCTTGTCTTTCGGCGTGATCGCGGAAGGAGAAGGCGGTGGCCGAGAAGGGACATCCAGGCTTCCAGGAAGCCAAGCCTGTGTGGCCATCTCATCCCAGCGTCCAGCAGAAGGAAGGAAGGCAGGAGCAGGGAGGAGCAGCCCAGCCAAAGCCTGGCCTCTTAAGCAACACCCTATTTACCTTCCCACCGCCATGCATTGGGGACCTCCTCCTTGAATCTCTCTTTTTTCCCCTTCCACTTCCTTCTTTCCTTTCCTTTCCTTCCTCCCTCTGGGCTGAGCAGGAAACTCCCTCCTTTGCTGACCCTTTGGTTGCCTTATTCCTCTCTAGGTATTATTATTATTTTATTATTGTTTCCTTTTTCTCTTTGGGGCACAATTTGGAAATTTATTTGGTGGAGTTTTGCTTGAATCCTGGAAATATATATATATTATTTGCATTTCTAAATACTTTTTGGAAGAAGTCACCACCTTACTCTACCTTATTTTGTCCTGAATTTGTGCTTATTTTGTTTCTATTTTGGAATTTTTGTCCATTAGTTTTTTCCCCCTCTTTTTGGCACAATTTGGAAATAATTTTTTGATTGAGTTTTGCTTGAATCCTGGATATATCTATCTATCTATCTATCTATCTATCTATCTATTCTTTGCATTTCTAAATATCTTTTGGAAGAGGTCAACACTTTTCTCTTCCCTATTTTCTTCTAAATTTCTGCTTATTTTGTTTCTATTTTGGATTTTTTGTCCATTAGTTTTTTCTCTTTTTTTGGCACAATTTGTAAATATTTTTTTGGTGGAGTTTTGCTTGAATCCTATATATTATTTGCATTTTAAAAATATCTTTCTCTTCCCCATTTTCTTCTAAATTTGTGCTCATTTTGTTTCTATTTTGGATTTTTTTGTCCATTAGTTTTTTCTCTTTTTTTGGCACAAATTGTAAATATTTTTTTGGTGGAGTTTTGCTTGAATCCTATATATTATTTGCATTTTAAAAATATCTTTTGGAAGAGGTCAACACCTTACTCTTCCCTATTTTCCTCCAAATCTGTGCTTATTTTGTTTGTATTTTGGGATTATTATTATTTTTTGTCCATCTGAATCCTTCAAAACTTTGGATCAACCAAATCCCTTCAGGAGGAATTCGAGTATCACCATCGCCTGCCTCTTATGTTTTCATTTCCTGTGGGTTTATTTCCTCCCTTTCCTCCAGGGAATGAAAAAGACAAGATTTGAATAAACTCTACTACGCTTGAAGAAGTTACTTTTGCAGGAAGACATTGTTTCTGTCTGAATTAGAGGGAACAAACTCAATTGTTGACATAGGACGAAACTTGTTGTCTGGGCCATTTTGACCTTAAAGGAAGCCAGCCGGAAGGAGCGAACATCTCAACCCTAAAGACTGGAAAATAATAATAATAATACACATTCCTGGAGACTTGAGATAGATATCCTTCTGGAAACCTTTTGGGGAAACCAACATCCTGGATCTTGATGCGGACCAGACTTGGCATGCTTGATTCTGTGCCCCATTTAAGTGCCATGAGGCTTTGAGGCTGAATTCTCCCACTGGGAAGCGTGGAAAAGCCCTGAGACTGAAAAAAAGGAGGAGGAATTGCCCAGCATATGAATGGCTGCCAAGGATTATGACCACTTGTTCAAACTACTCATCATTGGGGACTCGGGTAAGTTTGCGTGGATTTCCTCTTTCACTTGCAGGACGCATCTACACCAGACATAGACAAATTTGGGCCTTCCAGGTGTTTTGGACTTCAACTCCCACAATTCCTAACAGCCTTAGGCCCCTTCCTTTTCCCCCTCAGCCGCTTAAGCGGCTGAGGGGGAAAAGGAAAGGGCCTGAGGCTGTTAGGAATTGTGGGAGTTGAAGTCCAAAACACCTGGAAGGCTCAAGTTCGCATATCCCTGATCTAACCTGCCCACATTTCTTCCGTCTTTAATGCAGTGTTTCTCAACCTTCTTAATGCCGCGACCCCTTAATACAGTTCCTCATGGTGTGGTGACCCCCAACCATAAAATTATTTTCGTTGCTACTTCATAACTGTAATTTTCCTACTGTTATGTATCAACATGTAAATATCCGATATGCAGGATGTATTCTCATTCACTGGACCAAATTTGGCACAAATACCCAGTACACCCAAATTTGAATGCTGGTGGGGTTGTGGGGAATTGATTTTGTCATTTGGGAGTTGAAGTTTTTGGGATTTATAGTTAACCTACAACCAAAGAGAGTTCTGATCCCCACCAACGATGGAATTCAACCAAACTTGGTACACAGAACTCCCATGACCAGCAGAAAATACTGGAAAGGTTTGGTGAGCATTGACCTTGAGCTTTGGAATTGTAGTTCACTTACATCCAGAGAGCACTGTGGACTCAAAAAAAGTGATGTATCTGGACCAAACTTGGCACGAATTCTCAATATGCCCAATGTCAACACTGGTGGAATTTGGAGGAAATAGTCCTTGACATTTGGGAGTTGTAGTTGCTGGGATTTATAGTTCACCTACAATCAAATTGTGTCAAACTTCCCAAACAGAACCTCCATGACCAACAGAAAATACTGTGTTTTCTGATGGTCTTTGGCGACCCCTCTGACACCCTTGGGGGAAACAAATCTTGACATTTGGGAGTTGTTGTTGCAGGGATTTATAGTTCACCTACAATCAAAGAGCATTCTGAACCCCACCAACGATAGAATTGGGCCAAACTTCCCACACAGAACTCCCATGACCAACAGAAAATACTGTATTTTCTGATGGTCTTTGGTGACGCCCCCTTGCGATCCCCCCCCCCCCCCCCCCCCCCCACAGGGGTCCCGACCTCTAGATTGAGAAACTCTGCTTTAATGCATTTTGTTGTACACTATTTTGAGAAGAACAGGTTGGACTGGCAGATCTGTTATGGTTCAACTTTCCCCTTGTTTCTTCTTGGTTCTGTTTCCCCAATTGATGGCCATTGTTTCGGCATAAAGAGTTGTTTTATGAAAGCTTGCCAGATATATTCTGCTTGGATTGTGAGTTGTAATGTGAATTCTGCACTTATGGATTTTCTTTTAAGGATCCCCCGGCATCCTTTGCGGCAACCTGTAGTGTCAGAGCTGCAGCCTGGAGGAACCACGGTAGCTTTTTAGGGCAGGGAAGTGTGGTTTCTAAGTTCTCTTAAACTGCTTTGTGCTCTGAGAAGGAGGAATTGAGACTAAAGCCATTGGAAAACAACAGTGCTGCTCAAAACAGGCCTTTGTCAAGCCCCTCCTGGAGATGCCATTCAGTACCTGGCAGTACAGGTATATTCATACCTGGCCTTTTGTGTTTTAAGTGTGCATCTGCATTGTAGAATTAATGCAGTTCGATACCACTTTCACTGCCATGACTCAGTGCTGTGGAATCTTGGGACTTGTAGTTTGGTAAGGCACCAACACACTAATAGAGAAGGCTAAGGACTTCCAAGGATTCAATATAATTGAGCTATGGAAAGTATCAAACTGCATTAATTCTACTGTGTAGATGCACCCAAAGGCCTTGGCCAGAAGCTAGCTTTCTTGCCCTAAGCACCTGATAAAATGTTGCTGAGCCATCATTATTATGAACCTCTGACCCTATAAATGTCATTGGACTCCATTTCCCAGCAGCCAGCAAGGTCAATAATCAAATAAGATGTGATTTCAGATGATGAATCATAAGTTTCCCATCTTTTGCTTATAGCAATCTCTTTTCACTTTCACTTTGGAAATTGTACTTTTATTTTCAGCCTTATATCTCAGAAGGTGTAAGATTGCAGTTCCCATTCTTAGCTGAACTATAGATGAGGGATGCTGGGAATTGTAGTCCGAAAGGTCATATGAGTCGTATCCTTGCAGGGTGCAGCTACACTGTAGAATGAGTGCAGTTTGATACCACTTTAACTGTCATGGTTCATTGCTATAGAAACATGGGAGTTGTAGTTTTACAAGGCATTTAGCTTTCTCTGCCAAAGAGTTCTGGGCCTCACCAAACTACAAATCCCAGTATTCATTGGCATTGAGTCACAACAGTTAAAGTGGTGCCAAAGAGAGTGTGTTGTCCAAGGCTTTCATGGCTGGAATCACTGGGTTGCTGTGAGTTTTCTGGGCTATGTGGCCATGTTCCAGAAGCATTCTCTCCTGACGTTTCACCCACATCTATGGCAGGCATCTCAGAGATTGTGAGGTATATTGGAAATGAAGTAAGAGGGGTTTATATATCTGCAGAAAGTGGGAGAAAGAAACCTCACAACCTCTGAGGATTCTTGCCATAGATGGAGGCAAAATGTCAGGAGAGAATACTTCTAGAATATGGCCATAGAGCCTGAAAAACTTACATCAACCCAACTCTTGTCTGCTTGCCCCTGCCCCAAACTGAATGTTGCAATTGACTACCTTTATTAGCATTGAATGGCCTTGTAGTTTCAAATCCTGGTTAATTGCTGCCTGGGGGATCCTTTGTTGGGAGGTGTTAGCTGGCCATGATTGATGATTCTCTCACCATGGACATTCCACAGATATATAAACCTAACTGTCCTAGTTTCCAACAGACCTCATGACCTCTAAGGATGCCTGCCATAGATGTGAGTGAAATGTCAGGAGAGATTGCTTCTCAAACATGGCCATACAGCCTGAAAAATTCACAGCAACCCACTGTACTAATTCTACATTGTAGTTGCACCGTCAATTGAATTGGGTGGGCTCTTTCTCCAAACAGAGAGAGAAGGAAGGGATTGGCTTGCACTTTCTTTATTGCCACTCCCCAAACTGTTTAAACAGTGCTGAGTATCCACAGCCAAAAGGTGGGGATAATAGGAGTTGTAATCTTTGGAGGAAGATTGCATTAATCAGGAGAAACCGCATCATTCCAGATCCTCTGTATTTTTCGTAGCCAGGATATCCTGTTCTTCGTCAGTGTCTGAAAACATTTGGGAAAAAAGAGAAACATTTTAAACGGGATCCAGGTCAAGTGTTTGTTGTGAAACCTGGGGCACGAATGGATGTGAAATTCTGACACAGAACAGGAAAGGGCTACTAATCATCATCGGCATGCATTTGTTTTTAATTCCAGTTCTTGGACGTAAACTGTTTTCCAAGAAGCTTGCTGTAATTCAAATCAAAGAAGGGTGGAATGCTGGTTGTGTGTCTTTGTACACAAATCATCATAAAATGATCAAGGGTCTGGAGAACAAGCCCTATGAGGAGCGGCTTAAGGAGCTGGGCATGTTTAGCCTGAAGAAGAGAAGGCTGAGAGGAGATATGATAGCCATGTATAAATATGTGAGAGGAAGCCACAGGGAGGAGGGAGCAAGCTTGTTTACTGCTTCCTTGGAGACTAGGACGCGAAACAATGGCTTCAAACTACAAGAGAGGAGATTCCATCTGAACATGAGGAAGAACTTCCTGACTGTGAGAGCCGTTCAGCAGTGGAACTCTCTGCCCCGGAGTGTGGTGGAGGCTCCTTCTTTGGAAGCTTTTAAACAGAGGCTGGATGGCCATCTGTCAGGGGTGATTTGAATGCAATATTCCTGCTTCTTGGCAGGGGGTTGGACTGGATGGCCCATGAGGTCTCTTCCAACTCTTTGATTCTGTGATTCTATGAAATGAACCCTGTACTTAGGAAGCTACAGCAGGAAAGCTGAGGTTACATCTACATTGTAGAATTAATGCAGTTTGACACCACTTTTAACTGCCACCGCTCAAGTCTATGGAATCCTGGGACTGATGAAGCACCAGAAGGTAAAACTGCAGTTTGTATGATTCCATATAATTGAGCCAAGTGGTGTCAAACTGCATTTATTCCGTAGTGGAGATTCACTCTAGGAGTGGAGTTTGCGGGTATTGAGGCCTGGTGCATCTTTTGTTGTTGGCTGTTCCGGCCAGAGCATTGGCGCCTTTCCTGCTGCCACAGGGGGCCATAGGGCAAAGGAGAGCTGGAGCCGGGATGGAGAGGCGAGGAAAGGGGGAAAGCGGGCTTCCTGCAGCTGTTCATTCCAATGGCTGGGCCAAGATCTTCTTCCTCTTAGTGCCCTTCTCAGTGTGAGTGTGTGCTTTTGTGAAACCTTCCAGTACTCTTCCACTTCTGATCTCATTTCCCCTCTTCTATTCAACAGTAGTAACCCTTGGAATGCTTCCTATGCTTTCTGGTGGGAACTCTGCACTTTAAGGATGGATCTGCACCATGCATGGATCTGCACCATGCTTAAGCGGCTGAGGGGGAAAAGGAAGGGGCCTGAGGCTGTTAGGAATGGTGGGAGTTGAAGTCCAAAACATCTGGAGGGCCAAGTTTGCCCATGCATGGTCTACACTGACCATATCATGGAGTTTCAAATGTTTGTTTATTTATTTACTGCATTTGAATACCACCTTTATCAGCCTGTCGGCAACTCAAGGCAGTTTACAACAAATCAATACACATAATATCATAATAGAAATTAAAACATTAAAAACAATATAAAACCACAACAGAAGCAATAAAAATCAACATCATTAGCCAACATCTCCTTGTTAAACAAATCTGGGATTAAATAAACCACAACTCACTGCATGCTCAATCATTCCATCCATGTGCTTTTACTTTGCCCCCCCCCCCTTTTTTTTTTAAGAAAGTAAATAAAGCAGGAAAGGGAGCTGTTTGCATATCATTCGAAACCCAAGTGTAAGGTTATTTGCATTCATACAAGTGGGATTTGTGAGGACTGGAGGCATCATGGGAATGTAACCCAAACGAGTAACTGTTCCAAGCTTTGCCTAAGGCAGAACTTTCCAAACTTTTCATCTTGGTGACATGCTTTTTAGACAATGCATTCTTTCGTGACACAGTAATTCAGTTTAACTAGCAAAGCTGAGGTTAAACCAACAATTTATAAGAGTTTCATTTTATATATATATATATATATATATATATATATATATATATAGGATATTTTTCCTTTGCACGTCTTCTGTACTACAATTGATTCTTGTGTATCTTTGCTTTATAGCTGCTCCATGTGGTTCATCACCAACATTATTGTCAACAGATTTTCTTTTCTTAATTAGAAACTTATATATTTTATTTATTTATTTATTTATTTACAGTATTTATATTACACCCTTCTCACCCCGATGGGGACTCAGGACGGATCACAATGCACACATACACAGCAAACATTCAATGCCAATTTTAGATATACAAGACAGACAGAAAGAGGTATTTCGGCATTTTCCAACTTTGGCACTTGGAGGTTATGCTCGATCCTGGCCACAGGGGGTGCTGTCGCTTCACTATGATGCTGAGCCCTTTTGATTGTAGCATTTCCTCCTTGTTCTTTGATCCATGGCATTTTTAAGGTGTCGTTAAAATACCTCCCCTCTTTAAGCGGTGCCTAATTATTCTACTCATAGCTCATCTGTTCTCAAACTGCTTAGGTGGACAGTAAGCTAGGCTTAATAGTTGGGCGCTCAATCCGTCTTGGGCTTTGATATTTCCACCTTCCAGTCAGAAGTGATCTATTTCTGCTGGTGATTAACCAGCTGTGCTATAGCCTGGCCCTTTTAGTGATAATTACTGCAACGGAGTCAACAAATTGTGCAAATTATACAAGCTATAACAGTGCCTACGTTTGAAAAGCACTAGCACTCCACTACTGTGGTTAAACCCCAGTGGAAGTTTTTAAATACATGCTGGATATCATCTGTTGGAGGAGCTTTGATTGTGTCCTCCTGCAGAAGGAGGTTGGACTAGATGCCCTTTGAGGGTCTCTTCCAGTTCTGGCATATATTGCCTGGGAGTCTAGTGGAGTCTCCTCCTCTGGAGGTTTTTGAACTGAGGAAGATTAGGATGAAAGGTAGTGATTTCCTCAATGTGATCCATGGCTGCAGGAGGATTTGAACTTGGGACTCTCCCGTTGTAGTCCAATATTCTACCTATTATGTAATACTTCCTATTTAAAAATAATATGGGAATTGAAGTCTCCTTTGGAAACATGTAGGAAGGAGGGGTTCATACAGCTGCAGGCTGCCTTTCTCTATCCCGTATTCTCATGCTTCTCTGCTTTGTAATCCGCAAGAAAATTAGCTAGTAAATGGGATAAAAGGATGAGCAGAGATGGAGAGCAGCTGCCTTGATCTTTTCCAGTTTCCTCTGGGAAGCTTTTTGATTCCTAGACAGTGAGTCCTGCCACAAACTGTTGCACTGTTGAAGCTACACAATCCAGCCAGTTACCTTTTCCAAGGTACGCCTTGAGTTGGAAAAGTTCCTTTTTTGGACTATTGCTCTGAAAGCCCAGCCATGCTGGGGAATTCTGAAAGCTGAAGTCCAAAAGAAACTTTTCCATTTAATTCTTCCTCTCCTGACACAGCATTTGATGGTCTTTCAACATACTCTGGGTGCACCCCCAGCGTGACTCTATGAGGAAGTTGGCCACACAATCACACTAGAGGACCTACAAATGTCAAGAGAAGTATTTCCTTTAGGAATCTTTGCATCCTCTGGCGCAACTCTATTGTCAACTTTGCGGTGAAGTTCCTAAAAAGAACATGTTAACTCATAATATATAATCAAAACAGTAAAGTGAAATGTGCATATCTGTACAGCTACTGAATAATTTCAAGAATCATTATAGAATTATTTTAACCCTAACTCACCACCGTTCCTTTTAGAACAATAACCTATATATTTCTTCACTTGTTTCAAAACAAGTGAAGCCCTACTTGGGTGTAGAGCAGTAGTTCTCAACCTGTGGGTCCCCAGATGTTTTGGCTTTCAACTCCCAGAAATCCTAACAGCTGGTAAACTGGCAGGGATTCCTGGGAGTTGTAGGTCAAAACACCTGGGGACCCATAGGTTGAGAACCACTGGTTTAGAGGCTATTGTAACATTTGGAATTCTTCTGTCCTTTCCCCTGTTGACTTGTTTTTAATACTAGCTTGGGTATCCAGTGTTGCCCAGGTTATTTGAAAATGTAATTTTTTAAAAATTGTGCAAAATGCATACGTTGTTGTAGGTTTTTTGAGCTATATGTTCTAGATTACAAGCATTTTTTCCTGACGTTTCACATGCATCTATGGCAGGCATCCCCAGAGGTTGTGAGGTCTGTGAGAAACTAGGAAAATTGGGTTCATATATCTGTGGAAAGTCCAGGGTGGGAGAAAGAAATCTTGTCTGCTGGAGCTAGGCATGAATGTTGCAATTGGCCACCTTGATTAGCATTTGATGACCCGACAGTTTTTAGGTGTGACTTGTTAGTGTCTGGGGGAATCCTTTTTTGAAAGGTGATTAGCTGTCCCTGATTGTTTCTTGTCTGGAGTTCCCCTGTGTTTGAGTTGTGTTCTTTATTTACTGTTATCATTTTAGAATTTTTTAATACTGGTAGTTTATTTTCATGGTTTCTTCCTTTCTGTTGAAATTGTCCACATGCTTGTGGATTTCAGTGGCTTCTCTGTGTAGCCTGATGTGGTGGTTTTTAGAGTGGTCCGGCATTTCTGAGTTCTCAAATAATATGCTGTGTCCAGGTTTTAAAAAATAATATGCTGTGTCCAGGTTTTTTTTTTTAAAAAACCCTCTCTTATCTGGGCAGTAAATAAAGAGCAAGACTCAAGGAGCAGGGAAATTCCAGACAAGAATAAATCATGGCCAGCTAACACCTCCCAACAAAGGATTCCCCCAAGCAGCAATCAGCCAGGCCTTGAAACTGCAAGCCATTAAATGCTAATCAAGGCGTCAAATGTGCCTCAAGCAGACAAGAGTTCTTTCTCCCACCCTGGACGTTCCAGAAACATATAAACTTCACTTACTTAGTTTCCAACAGACCCCTCAACCTCTGAGGATTCCTGCCATAGAAGTGGGTGAAATGTCAGGAGAGAATGCTTCTGGAATATAGCCATACAACCCGGAAAACTCACAGCAACCTACAGTGTTACTTTATTATAAAAACATCAACATGCCATTTTTGGTTTTTTTGGGGTTTTTTGTTGGTTTTTTGAGTTCTGGTTCACTGGGAGTCTACTATAAATGGACGACCAAGTATAATTCTGTCCGAGGTCATTACTTTGCATAAATCCCTTGCCTTTCGTTCATGCTTTCCCCCCATTAATGGGATTTGAATATTGTAAGAAATAGTGAAAGATGTAGGAGCACTCTCAGTTTCCCCCCTGAAGGGCCAAGATCTGTTTTGCAATTTGTGATGAGCTGAGCATCGGAAACCTTGGTGCGTGCATGTGCTTTTAAAACAGGATATGAATTCACCGACTTCCCAGCGCACAGCCAAGAAAGGTACATGGGGCGCATTCTTTCATATTGGCTTTGGAGACTCAGCCTTGGCTGGCCTCCCATTGCAGCTGCAGTGAGGAAAGCTGGGGAATGGGGCAAACTTTCAGCTATCTCTGCAGCAAAATAACCCAGAGTGAAGAAAGACCTGATCCCTTCCCAGGGTTATGTCAACATGTGACGGATAAGAATTGTGCATGCTAGATGGCCCCATTACTTCATGCCTAGTACAATCATGCCTGCATTTGTTTTCTGCTCATTTTCCTTCTTATTGCCTACCCCAGTCCTATTTATAAGCAAGATCATGGGTATGTACATTGTTCAACATAAAGGGACTACTGTCTTCTTCTGTTTTTCTCATCTCCTCCCCACCAAACTTCAAGATAGCCTTGAGTGAAGTCATGTGGGGTAATCTGCAATCCTTGGCGTTTTCGCCATAATCCCTTGCCACTCTTTCTCTTCCCCTGAATGGGACACAATGGTTTTGGCTGGGAGTGGCTGCCTTGAGTAAATATGCAGCAGTGTTTGCTTTGGGTGGGGAGCCAGAAGCTCCCTTTTTCCCTGAGATGATTATATTCTCATCTGAGACTATTAAAAATAAATGAGTGTCATGCAGCATGATAAGAGGAGCCCCCAGTGGCGCAGTGGGTTAAACCCCTGTGCCGACAGGACTGAAGACCAACAGGTCACAGGTTCGAATCCGGGGAGAGCGCGGGTGAGCTCCCTCTATCAGCTCCAGCTCCTCATGTGGGGACATGAGAGAAGCCTCCCACAAGGATGGTGACACATCAAAACATCTGGGCGTCCCTTGGGCAGCGTCCTTGCAGACGGCCAATTCTCTCACACCAGAAGTGACTTGCAGTTTTTCAAGTCACTCATGATATGAAAAAAGCACGATAAGGACTGTACTTTATTCAAATTTATATGACCCTGTTCTTGTCTTTTTTTCCCCCTCAGGGGTTGGGAAAAGTAGCCTATTACTTCGCTTTGCAGACAATACCTTTTCTGGTAAGTAACTAATCTGCTTTGTAACTCTCTGAATAATCTGAAATTTTTTGGCTTCTACTCATTCCAGGTATGCTGCAATATTCCTGCAGCAATGTCAGCTCAAAGCATTCACTGGCAACACAAGCGTTTGCTTAAAACTGAGTTTTTGGAAGCAATTCTAGGAAAATAATAAAGATCAGTGGAAGAAAGATGGCTTAATTTGGTTAGTGTTCTTCTGTGCATTATGGCTACAGAATTGCCTGTTCCACTCAAATTAAATTGCATTTGCCAGACCCTTGCCAGCTATAGATTGAACAGCTTTTCAAAAGTGTTGCAACATGAAATATTCCTATAAAGAACCTTTCCTCCCTTCCCCAGTTTGCAGACATCTGCTGTGGTTGACTCACCTCTTTGGGTTTTGTTTGGTTTGGTTTCAGAGGCAAACTGAAACCATAGTTTCAATTAGCAGAATGGTTGACCAAATGGCTGTGTAGAAATGGACTATTTGTAAACAAGGTATGCTGTGTTACTGAGAGTATATTTCACAGATTCTCAAATCAATGCTTGGTTACAAATCTCAAATTTCTTCGCTGCCAGTGGATTCTAGGCTTCTCCTCTTACAGCAGTGGTTCGCAACCTGTGGGCCGCAGCTCTAAACGATTAAATATGGTTTTCTGTGGACAAGCAGATGGTGACTATTGGATGGCATATGTTCTGTATCAGAAAATAAAGCTGATGTGATCTATCCAATGCAGTTTTCTGAATCAGCACCTCAAATAACCAAAGCAAATCTAAAGTTGACCAAAAAGTGATTTGTAATCCTTTTGGTACTAATGTTGGAGAGTGGTCCCTGGTCAGAATGGTCCATGCTCAAAGTTGTCCCTGATCAGAGTGGTCCTTGGTCAGAGTGATCCCTGGTCAAAGTGGTCCCTGGTCAAAAAAGGTTGGGAACCACTGAATTACAAAGTCAGTTTTCCAGGCTTGTATGAGATATTTCTACCATTTAGCACAGACAGAATGAGAGACTTGTGCAAAGCCATTGGTGAATTATTCTAGGCTTAGTCTAGACCAGGTGTGGGCAAACTTCGTCCCTCCAGGTGTTTTGGACTCCAACTCACACAATTCCAGCTGTTAGGAATTGTGGGAGTTGAAGTCCAAAACACCTAGAGGGCCGAAGTTTACCTATCCCTAGTCTATAAAGTCATAGAATTCTAGATTCTGTTTCTAATCCAGCTTCTTCCATGATAAAAGGTTGCAGTGATATCAATTACTGTTTGATCCCAAAAGTTATAGATGATCTGTTTCTGTAGCTTAATATCACCCAGAAGTTTGTAGTTTTTATTGTATCTAACCTCTCTTCAGTTTATTTTTAATTGCTTAATTTGTTTTAGTATCACTGCTGGCATTTTAATGTTGTTGTTGTTGTTGTTGTTGTTATTATTATTATTATTATTATTATTATTATTTATTTACTTACTTCTTTTATCCTGCCTTTCTCTCCATAAGGACTCAAGGCAGCTAACAATGACATAATAATATAATAGAATAGAAAACAGGGCAAATACACATGCATATGAATATAACGGGACTGTGGTGGTCCAGTGGGTTAAACCACTAAGCTTCAAAACTTGCTATTGGAAGGTTGGCGATTCGAATCCACGGATGGGTAGAGCTCCCGTTGTTAGCCTCAGCTTCTGCCAACCTAGCAGTTCGAAAACATGCAGATGTGAATAGATCAATCGGTACCACTTCTGTTGGAAGGTAATGGCGCGCCATGCAGTCATGCTGGCCACATGACCTTGGAGGTGTCTATGGACAACACCGGCTCTTTGGTTTAGAAATGGAGATGAGCACCACCCCCCAGAGTCCGACACGACTAAACTTAATTGAAGGGAAAACTTTTATCTTTACTTATGAATATAACGTTTTAAAAATCAATTCAATATTTGTGTCACAAGTGTTAAATTTAAAATACACTTAAAAATACATTTTAAAATTACAGCACTCCTTGCAAAGGTTTCTCTGTTCTAACTCTTTCTCTGTTCTGGATTTCCCCCAGGCAGCTACATCACAACAATTGGGGTAGATTTCAAAATTCGCACATTAGTGATAAATGGAGAGCGTGTGAAACTGCAGATCTGGGACACTGCAGGACAGGAGCGCTTTCGCACCATCACCTCCACGTAAGTCCGGGGCAGGACTGGGAGTAACTGGGTGTTGGAGCAGAAAACGGGGCTCACATGGGACTCTTCAACTTCTGTGAAAGGGAGCTATCCAGATTTTAGTTGGCTAGACTACATCTTGAGGGTACCGCCATAGAAGATGGTTAGGAGTCAGTGAATATATCTTTGAAAATGTAGATAGCTTGGAATTCAGAGCGAAAACAATGATTTGTTGGTCTCCCAATGAAAGGTGAGAGGTTTGTTATGGTCTCTTGTTCTTTGGATGCAGCTATTACCGTAACACTCATGGAGTCATCATTGTGTATGATGTGACGAACGCTGAGTCCTTTGTGAATGTCAAGCGTTGGCTACATGAGATCGGGCAAAACTGTGACAGTGTCTGCAAGATTTTGGGTGAGTAACTCAGAGTGGTACATCTTTTTCGTTTCTTTTGTCCTATAATATGTTATGTTATACTACATTGTGCTTTTAAGGTATTGTATATCAATTGGTATGGTTTTCCATCCTTTATGTTCACTGAGTTAATTCTTGTTTGATTGTTATAAGTTATATTGAGTTTATTTCACTCTATGTTTTGTTTTGATTGTCTATTTGGTTTTGGCATTGAATGTTTGCCATTTTGTTATTCTTGAGGAGAGAGGGCAGGTTATAAATAAAGTTGTTGTTGTTATGTTTAATGAATGTTATTTTCAAACTCTGGAGCCAGTTGTTCCAATATGATACATATAGAAAGCTTCCCAGGATTCACAATGGTCATTATACCAGGTTGGGTGAAAGCGCTGTATCCCCGGTATCTCTGCTTTATAGAAGACTAGCTTAGGGACCCGGCGGTGCCCAGGTTATTAGAAGATGACATTGTTTGTTTTGGGATGTTAGGTAATATCACTTAAGTTTGGTCCAGATCTGTTGTTGGCTGGGTTCAGTGCTCTCTGGATAAGGGTGAACTACAACTCCCAGACTCCCAGGGCAGTCACCCCCAAACTCTCCCAGTATTTGCAGTTGGCCATGTTGGGTCTGTCTGGGTCTGTGTGCCAAGTTTGGTCCAGATCCATCGTTGGCTGGGTTTAGTGCTCTCTGGATAAGGAAGAACTACAACTCCCAGATTCCCAAGACAGTCACTTCCAAACCCTGCCAGTATTCACAGTTGGCCATGTTGGGTCTGTGTGCCATGTTTGGTCCAGATCCATCGTCGGCTGGGTTTAGTTCTCTCTGGATAAGAGTGAACTACAACTCCCAGATTCCAAGGGCAATCACCCCCAAACCCTGCCACTATTTGCAGTTGGCCATGTTGGGTTTGATTCAGGCCTGTCATTCGTGAGGGTTGCAGTAGTCTGTTGAAGTTGGAGCTGTATTGGGTGAAGATACTGCAAATCCCATAATCCGTGATCCATTCTCCCCCAATCCGCACCAGGATGTGAAGTGAGTCATGGGGCGTTTGGTCCTTATCCGTCATTCATGGGGGTTGCAGTGGTCTGCAAGTACTACAAATCCCATCATCTAACATAAATGATGACCCTATATTGCATTAGAAGCAACTTGAATGAACCAGTACTGAAAACAAGGAATGAGGGCGTCATGCAATACACCCCAAAGATGGATATTTCATGAGCTTAGGGTCACCACAAAAAAGGCCATATATTTTATACCTGAAAACAGACTAGATTGCATCAGCAAGTGTGTGAGATTGAGTGTCTGTGCTTAATCTTAAAGCCTAGGCAGGTTTGTGTGGGTGCAGATGATCCTGGGACAACCTGGATTAGATCATTTGAGATTTAAAATCTTCATTTAGAGCAGTGACAGGGAACATGCAGGCTGCATGCAGCACCAGAGACTGACTTTTCTGCCCCCGATGACCCCCTGTCTTTATTGTTTAAAGCAGTGTTTCTCAACCTTCCTAATGCCGTATTAAGAACCCCTTAATACAGTTCTTCATGTTGTGGTGACCTCCAACCATACAATTATTTTCATTACTACTTCATAACTGTAATTTTGTTACTGTTATGAATCATAATGTAAATATCTGATAGGCAGGATCTATTTTCATTCACTGGACCAAATCTGGCACAAATACCTGATAAGCCCAAATTGGAATACTGGTGGGATTGGGGGGGGGGGGGATTGATTTTGTCATTTGGGAGTTGTAGTTCTTGGGATTTATAGTAACCTACAATCACAGAGCATTATGAACTCCACCAACGATGGCATTTAACCAAACTTGGCACACAGAACTCTTATGACCAACAGAAAATACTGGGTTGGTGGGCATTGATCTTGAGTTTTGGAGTTGTAGTTCACTTACATTCAGACAGCACTGTGGACTCAAACAATGATGGATATGGACCAAAGTTAGCATGAATACTCAGTATGCCCAAATGTGAACACTGGTGGACTTTGTGGAAAATAGACCTTGACATTTGGGAGTTATAGTTGGTGGGATTTATAGTTCCCCTACAATCAAAGAGCATTCTAAACCCCACCAATGATAGAACTGAGCTAAATTTCCCACACAGAAGCTCCATGTCTTGAAGTGACTCCCTGGCACGAGCCTCCCTCCAGCCTCACATCCTTTCCCTCTCCTGCACATGTGCACCACGCTGCCATGCGCTTAGCATGCCTGCTCTCCCCTCTCTGCTTGGAGTCTCAGAAACAGCCCTCCCCTTGGCTGAGAGGCCGGCCAATCACAGCAGAGGAGAGCTCTTTGGTGGGAAGATTTGAAGTCTGTTTCCAAAAAGGAAGAGAAGGACAGGCGGAGAGATCTTCAGCCGTCTGTGTCAAAAGGATTCCTAAAATCATCAGAAATATATGTTTTCTGATGGTTTTTGGTGACTCCTGAAACCCCCTCATGACCCCCAACCGGGGTTCCTGACCCCCAGGTTGCGAAACGTTGGTTTAAATCAAAATTGCCACTGAATTTTGAGCAGTTCCTTCTACCAGCACAAGCCATAACAACACAAAATCAGATGTAAACATGTCAGCTGAGTTGTCCTGTCCTTGCGGCCTTCCAAGCTAATATAAAAGGGGAGAAACGGCCAACAATCTTCTGGAGGCGATATGGCATCACTTTTGGTGTACCCGAAATGTGATGGCGTGTCTGGTGTAGTTGTGCATACGGAGATAAAAATGGGCCACTTTAATAATCTGAACCTGCCATTTGTTTTGTAAAAGCATCCCGGAATCACCTAATTACGGTACTTGATAGTTTGCCGTGTCTCTTGTAGATGCATTCAGTCTTTCAGGTCATGGAGAGGACTTCTGTTGCAGCTATATGCAATTGAGTTTTGCTCTGCAGCTATTTGGAGCCATGCATTTAGCGAAGTGGCACCTGTTGGGCAGAATATGCTTCTCTCTCAAATCTGACATGCTCCAATAATTTTTTATTTTTAAGTGTGCATTTTGCTAGCTTTCCCAGTATCGTCCAACTTACCATGTCATTGCTGGACATGGCAACATTAAGAATTTTGAGAAAAAATGACATTCCACTTTGCCAAGATTGGTAATGCTAGCTGATAATAAAAATGAGGAAAGAGCCAAGATATTTTGAGGTTTAATTACACCAAATTACAGGAAATTGTGTGTATAAGGCCAGGCTTTAGCACAGTTGGTAAATCACCAGCAGTGATAAGATTTTCCAATGCAAGGTTGCCAGTTTAAAGCCCTAGGTTGGTGTGAGCTCCCAACTGTCAGCCGAGCTTACTGTTTACCTAAGCACTTCAAAAAAGCTTGAGCTGTAAGTAGAGAAATTGGGTATCGCTAAAACAAGCGGGGGTGGTATTTTATGACACTATAAATAAAAAGATGAGAAAATGCCCGGCAACCAAAGGGAAGGAGGAAGTCCTGATGGTCTTTGTCATAGAGGATGAAGCAATAGCATCCCCCTGTGGCTGGATTCAAGCACAACCTCCAAGGTGCCAAAAACCTGGATGTCAACACAACATACCTTCTTTCTGTTCTGTTTGTCTTTGTCCTGTCTATCCAAAATGGCATTGAATGTTTGCTGTGCATGTGTACTGTGATCTGCCCTGGTTCCCTTGGGGGAGATAGGGTGAAATATAAATAAAGTGTTGTTATTATGTTGTTGTTATTTAAAAGTCAGAGAAGGCAGATTAGCAAGATTTCTGATTCACTGATTCTTGGCCTTGAGTCAGACCGCTATCCACAATTCAAAGCATTCCGTATTGGAAATAGCAACCTTCTACAAGCCTCCTATACTAGTTATTTGTTGTGCATATAATTGTGATTGGTTACTATATAGAATGTATATATTGATATGCAATTTTTCCTTAACTCTATGTTGTTTGAGGTTGTGGGAGGGACTGCAGACCATGTGACCAGATCTGGGACTATTTGGACTGAGACTCCATTTTTAGAAGCCAATTTGCATCAGAAGTAGTACAGTTTAGAAGTCAGTACAGTTTATGAAGCCAGCAGTGCTAGTAGTGTCAGTATGCTGTAGTGAGTAGTCAGTCTCTATTGAGCCAATGTTCAGTAATGTATTAGACTGGAGAGAGTGTTAGTCTGTGTGCAACAAAGAAGAGACTAAAACAGAATGCTTTAGAGAACTTACTGTTTAAACTTTGAACCAATAAGAAATGTGCCTGTATGCTGAATACATGAAGTTTGTAAGTAAATCAACTATGTTACTTTTATTTTTGGTCTTTTGAAAGCATGGTTTAAGAACCAATACATTTTCTGGGAGAATAGATGTTTTTGGGCAACTGAAATAACACTTCTGAAGATCTGCTATATATTTTGTGCATTGACATATCTTTGTTCCTAACAGTTCAGAGAAATAGCCGGGTATGTCAGTCTAACAACTGGGAAGCCTAATTTGCCTTGCATGAATACTAGTTGATTTTTACCACTAAGGAGAAGATTCACTCAAAGGAGTATTGAATTCTTCTCAAGAAGATCATACTTTACAAAAGGTTATGATTATTCCAAATAGTGTGAATGCCAATTAATCTCCAAAAGGGTCACGTTTCCAAAAGGCTATGGAGATTCCTGGTTTTCCAAAAGGTTATGGTCTCTAAAAGTCATGCCTTTCCAAAATTCCAACTGTTTGGATTTCAGCTTCCATGTTGACCAAACACATCTGATTGGCCTTTATAGCCATTACGTCTGTAGGATGTTTTTCTCTAATACTGGGAATTGTTGGACCCTTTTCATTCCTTCTCTTCCCATCTCCTTTTGTCTCCATCCCTCTAACCCATGCTAGTGGGTAACAAATGCGAGGACCCATCCCGGAAACAGGTGGAAACAGCCGATGCTCGGCGGTTCAGTGATCAGATGGGAGTGCGGCTCTTTGAAACCAGCGCCAAGGAAAATCTCAACGTTGAAGAGGTACTGCATGGGATGATTACGAGGAATTGTATGGGAAGCAATGCTTTGGGAAAGCCCTCCTTACCTCAAGGCCTTTGGTTGTGGGGAGCATTGAAAAAAATCATCTTATTTTGGACTACCCTTTTCCAGAATTTCCCAGGAATTCTAGGAGTTTCGGTCCAAAAATTGAGCTTTTTAATTCTTCATATAAGGAATCATAGAATCATAGAGTTGGAAGAGAACACAAGTGTCATCCAGTCCAACCCCATTCTGCCATGGACCAAAAGCTGTGCTTGTAAGCCTCCAGAGAAGGAGATGCCAAAGCAGCATATTCCACTGTTGAACAGCTCTTAACATCGGGAAGTTCGTCCTAATGTTTAGGTGGAATCTCTTTTCCTGCAATTTGAATCCATTGCTCTTTGTTCCAAGTCTCCAGGGAAGCAGAAAACAAGCTTGCCTCCTCCTTAAAGTGGCTTCTTTGCAAATATCTACACATGGCTCTCATGTTCCCCTCTCAACCTCCTTTTCTCCAAGCTAAACATACTGTATATACTTGAGTATAAGCTGACTCGAATATGCCAAAGCACCTAATTTTACCATAAAAAACTTGGGAAAAAGTATTAACTCAAGTACAAGCCAAGGGTGGGAAATGCTGCAGCTACTGGTAAATTTCAAAATAAAAATAGACACCAATAAAATTACATTAATTGCGGCACCAGTAGGTTAAATGTTTTTGAATATTTACATAAAACTGTAATTTAAGATAAGACTGATTAAACCATTATTCTAACCCCTTTCAATTGAAATTTGCTTACGTATCCTTCCAATAATAATAAATAGAGTAAAATAATAAATGTAATAACAATAAAGAAAAAATATAAATGTAATAACAATAACAAATAGAGATAAATAATAACTGTAATCATAAGAGTAAAATAATAAATGTAATAATAATAGAATAAAATAATAAATGTAGTAAATGTAATAACAACAGAGATGTTATCCCTTCCTTCTAACATTCTGCAAAAAGGTTAAGACCTGGCTCTTTGAGCAAGCTTTTACTACTGGAGCATAATTTGACGAATATGAATATATGGAACGAACGACTATGCAATTGGACAATGATTTTCATAAGGAGATGCCGAGGATTTTGTTTTTACAGGCTGTATTGCTTTTATATTACATTTTAAATGTTTTAATTGCTTTTATAATTGTTTTAACTGTATCTTTATAGTTTGTTATGGCATCGAATCGCTGCCAACTGTGAACCGCCTTGAGTCGCCTCTGGCTGAGAAAGGCGGTATACAAATGCAGCAAATAAATAAATAACGTAGTAACAATCATAATAATTGAAGTACTTTGGCCACATCGTGAGAAGAAAGGAAAGCTTAGAGAAGACAATGATGCTGGAGAAAATGGAAGGAAAAAGGAAGAGGGGCTGACCAAGGGCAAGATGGATGGATGGTATCCTTGAAGTGACCGGATTGACCTTGAAGGAGCTGGGGGTGGTGACGACCAACAGGGAGCTCTGGCGTGGACTGGTCCATGAAGTCATGAAGAGTCTGAAATGACTGAAGGAATGAACAACAACAACAATAACAATATCAGAGTGAAATAATAAATGTAATAAGAATAGAGTAAAATAATAAACGTAATAATCACAATAATAAGTAGAGTAAAATAATAGATTTATTTATTTATTTATTTATTTATTTATTTATTTATTTATTTGGTGCATTTATTAACCGCCATTCTCAGCCCTCTCGGGCGACTCATGGCGGTGTACAGCATAAAAAGGCAATATACAAAAAGACAGTTACAAATAACATATTAGCAAAAACAGCAATACAACAATTAAAATCATAATAATAGAGTAAAATAATAAATAACCTTGACTTGAGTGTAAGCCTAAGGGGGCCTTTTCAACCTAAAAAAGGGCTGAAAATTTGGTTTATACTCAAGTATATACGGTACCTAGTTCCCTAAGCCACTACTTATAGGGTTTGGTTTCCAAACCTTTGATCATTTTGGTTTCCCTTCTCTAGTCAAGTTTTAGCTTGTCCATTTCCTCCTTGAACTGTGGTACCCAAAACTTGACACAATATTTTAGGTGAGGCCTGACTAAAGCGGAATAGAATTGGATTGTGATTTCCCTTGATCTCGACATTGTACTCCTATCGATCCAGCCTACATTTGTATTGGCTTTTTTTTAAGCTGCTGCATCACACTGTTGACTCACGTTCAGCTTGTGGTCTACTAAGACTCCTAGATTCCTTTCACATGGACTTGTTCAATCATTCCTTTTCTTTGTGTCTCCCTCTCTTCCTGTAGATGTTCAACGCCATCACGGCCATGGTGCTCCGAACCAAACAGGAAAACCTGGCACGTCTCCAACAGCAGAACGAAGTCGTCAAAATCAACAAACCCAAAAAGAAACCTTCGGTGAAGAAATGCTGCTGAAGGGGCAATCTCTCTCTCCCTCCCTCTGTCTATATTCTTCCTCCTCCTCACCTCCTTCCCCTCGGCCCCCAATTTTCCAAAAGAGCGGACTGTGGAAGACTGAATGGATTTAAAAAGTAGTTGCTGTCTGTTTTGTGTGTGCATGGTGAGGAGTGGGGTGGGCACAGGAATCTATGTGAATGATGTCCCAAACATAGGAATTGCACTCCTTTTGCCCCAGACACTGGGAAAATTGAGTTGTTGGTGCAGAAAACGCTACAGAAACATTGAGATCTCTTTTTGGAGGTAGTGAGTCCTGTTCATGGAAGGAGTGTTGAATGGAGCACATCGAGGACCAGTAAAAATAAACTACTGAAATGAATGGGAACAAGATGACTAGAAGGATGTGGGATACAGATGAGTTAGAGGTGTAGTTCTCTTCCCCTTAAATCCTCTGCCATTTTGCCTGTATAGACTCTTCTCGTTTTGTTTTACTTCTCACATCCCTGTCCCGTGTTGCCATGTTACTGCAACACACACACCCATTGTTTGGGTTCCTTTAAGGAGATGTACAAGGTGGCTATTGACCAGGTGGCAATAATTCCCTGCTTTAGACCTATGCCTGTCACAGCAAAGTATAAGCTGAAACTGGGTAAATCCAACAGAAGATGCCTCGACTTAGCAATACTAGGAATTTTTGCCATTTTCTTCACCTTGCTTGTGCTCAACAATGGGGTTCAGGAGATAAGACTTTGTGCCTGGGTTAGGAACTGGGATGATGTTCCTCTCCCATCATCCTCCATAGGATTGTCCCATCCTCTTCCTGATCAGCCCTGTAAGTCGTGCAGAGAATAGCCATGTGCATCCATGTTCTCAGAGAGATATGCTTGAAGAAAGCATCTCTTGGCAAGCCCTCCATGCGACTTGTGTTTGGGCTGCTCTCCGTGTCTGCCCATCCTCCCTTCCTGAAACTTAGGAACTAATCAGAAGCAGGGAGGTGTCTGCTCCAAATGAGGACCATGAAACGATCCCTGGGCTCCACCCTATGATTCATTCCCCAAAGGGTGGGCGCAGCAGGGGTTGAAACTCTCCTTCTGTTATCTTTCAATATGGGGACCTTCTGACTGTGCAATATGTCGGCTTCATGAATTATTTTATATACACATAAATGAATTATGTACATAATTAAAAGTCTTGTTTTAACCCACTGCTAATGGCATTAAACATTAAGGAAGACACCACTATTCAATAAAGAAATTTAGATACGAACCAGTTTCTTTTGCTCTTTTATTTCTCCAAGGTGCTGCCCGGTCACACTCTTGATGGCTTCTGGGATAACACTACTTAAGGGCGCCTCTACACCAGGCATGGGCAAACATTCTAACTTGGGGGTCGGAGTGGGGTGGGCGGGCCAGGAGGGAGGGGATTCTCCCCAAGCCCCCTCGCTGCCCTTTCCTCCCCTTTTCTCTTTTGGAGGCAGAAAGTGAAGGAAAGACGGAAAACATTTGGATCTCTGTAATGAATTTTCCCATTATATGTTCCAACTCACAGAGCCCTGCTAAATCCTACCTAATTTTCTTCTAATGGTTATTTGCTTGCAATGTCTCCTCTAATGTTATTGGTATTGTCAAGCCAAAAGCAAAATTAGCTTCTGTCTGAAAACATTCATACAAAGTGAAAATATTTTCTTTCCAGTCGTACTGCTTTTAGCCCTATATTTGTAATTCTTCCTTACCATTATATTTGATTTCCATCGCAGTTGCGTTTGGTGGGGACAAGAGATGGGGCCTCTTCCGTGGTGGCCCCCAGCTGTGGAACTCCCTCCCTAAGGTGGTTAAATCTGCCCCCTCCCTCCTGACTTTTCACAAGGAGCTTACATCCTGGCTGTGGGAGCAAGCATTCGTAGAATAGATGGATTTTATTGGTGAAGTTGAGATTTTATGGACCATAATTTGGACTGATTTGGAGGATGTTTTAAACCTGACAAAGTGTTTTCAATGTATATTTATAAGCATTTTATGTAATTGTGTATTTCATTGCTGTTTTTATATTGTCCTAGCTGTACCTACCACGCGTTGCTGTGGCCAACCTTTCTTCCCTCTTTCTTTCTCTCCTTCATTCCCTCCCTCTTTCCTTCCTTCCCTCTTTTTCTTTCCCTTCTTCTTTCTTCCTTCTCTACCTGTTTCTTTTCTTGCTTCTTTTGCTCCTTGGTTCCATCTTTCCTTATCTCTTTCCTTCCTTCCTTCCCTCCCTTTCTCTCTTTCCTTCCTTCTCTCCTTCCTTCCTTCTCTACCTTTCCTTCTTTTCTTCTCTCCTTCTGTCCCTTTTTCTCTCCCTCTTTCTCTCCTTCCTTCTTTCCTTCCCCCTTGTGTTTTGTGTTTGTATGTGTTTTGTGTGTGCACATGTGTATATATATTTGTGTATATGTGTATATATGTGTGTTTGTGTACATATGTGGTTTTGCACATGCGTTGTAATGTATTTTTTGTTTTTCGGCTTTTTAAGTCTCTTCTGCTGTATTTTCCAGTGTTTTATGAGTGATGGTCACTTATTGGCCTGATAGGTGTATTGTGTCCAAATTTCATGTCAATTTGTCTAGTGGTTTTTGAGTTATGTTTATCCCACAAATGAATATTACATTTTTATTTATATAGATTGGTATTGAATTCTTTCCTACTGGTAGCTGCCCTGAGTCCCTCTTCGGAGGTCGAGAACAAGACGGGATATACATGTTCTAAATAAATAAATAAATCTCTTTCCCTACCATTTGAACCCATTGCTCCCTTGTGCCCTGGTCTCTAGAGCAATAGAAAGTCAGTTTTCTCCCTCCTCCTCCTCCTCCTCCTCCTCAATGGGACACCCTTTGACATCTTGAAAAATGGTTCTCGTATTCCCTCTCTACTTTCAAGTCTCCTAGCTAAATATCCCCCAGGAGGAAGGAAAAAGAGAAGGGAGGAAAGAAGAAAGGAAGAGAAGGATGGAAGGGTAGAAGGGAATGGAGGGAGAGAGGAAGGAAAGAGAGAAGGAAGGAAGGACAAAAGGGTGGAAGGGAAGGAAGGATGGAAGCAGAAAGAGGGAGGTAAGGAAGGAGGAAGGAAAGATGGAAGGATAGGATGGTGAGAGAGAGGAGGGCCTGAGAAAAGAGCCCAAAGGTCCACATCTGGCCTCCGGACCTAGGCTTGCCCATACCTGATTTACACTGTAGAGTTAATGCAGTTTGATGCCACCTTAACTCCCATGGTTCAATACTAAGAAATCATATGATTTGTAGTTTTGGGAGGCACCACCACCCTTTGGCAGGGAAGGCTGAGTGTCTTTTAAAACTACAACTACCATGACTTCATAGGAATTGAACCATGGCAGTTAAACTGGCATTAAACTGCATTAATTCCTCAGTGCAGAGGTATGCTTAGGAATTGTGGTGCGTATAGGAAGTTGAGAAAGCTTTTATTGTTAATCAGAAGTGAAAAGAGAACTGTATACTGAACATTTTTTCCTTTTAGATGCAAGTTAAAACCTGGCCTTTGGTAAAGTAGAAAAGGTGAGAGCAAAAAAAAATCCATTCTGAAATGTCTTTAAAAGGACATATTGCAAGAAAAATTCTAGCACCGTCTGACACCACTGTTGCACATTTAGCTTTTAATTGCCTCTTATTAAAAGAGCGGGAAAGCACACAACAGTCACACGCAAAATAAAAAGATTGCTTATACGCTTCATAACAAGAGGGCAAAAAGGAGAATCAAAGAACTGGAACCGAAAACCAAGGGTGTTATATGAATGGACATCATTAGTTTTCGCTTAAATATGGTGCTGCTGGTTGGAAGCCTGAGTGGCCATGGGAGAAGACATGGTTGGCGGCTTCAAAGCTTCATACTTCCATTTCCTCTTCTGCTCCCACCACTTTTTGCTGGGCCTCTACAGAGGCACTTGCAGAAGAGGGGATGCCCATCATTGTCCGAATGGTGTGTAAGCTTGACTTATTGTGAGGGCTCCACAAGACAACCTCTGTACAAGGATTCCTGGAGGAGAGGAAGGAAGGAAGGAAAGAAAGGCTTGGGCGAGTGGGCTTAGTAACAAAAGAATAATGGACATAATGAATATGGATGAATTGACCCAACTTCTAATAGACATCAAGGAACACCAAAGAAAAAGACGAATTGGCAACTATTTAAAACCTACATGAAGGAAGAGAAGAAAACTTTAATTATCTAACCAGAAAATAACAACTTACCACACACATTGAAGAATCCAATACGAAAGGAGAAAGTACAATGTATGTATTTGTTTATATTTATATATTTTTTATTCTTATCCTCTTTAAAAAGGGTAAGACCGAAGGACATAATAAGCAAAGAAAAAAGACGAATTACAGAAACGCAACAATTTCTCTCTCTTTTTTTCCTTCTTTTTTAAAACCATTTCTAATATTTTTCCTTAAATCTCTTTAAATCACTTTTTCTTTGATTTGGTTTGGGTTTCTTTTTGTAGCACTTTCTCTTCCTTTCTCCCCCCCCCCCCTTGTTTTTTTGTATGTACTAAACATTTCAATGAAAAAAACAAAAACAAAAGACCTTCCTCATAAATGCATAGCAGAGTAACTTATTAGCAGCAGCGTGACCCAGCACTAGAAGCCCAAAGTGATAAAAAGAACAAAAACACACAAACCAAAGTTATCTCTTCCTTAGGAGGCTTTTCTTTATAGCAAAATAATATGGTTGCACTATTTACAAGAACAAGGTTCAACCTTCACACTGAAGCTTCACACACAAGGCCTCATACCGACACTAACCTCACAAAGGCCTACCTCACACAGAGGCCTCTCTCACAGACTAAGGCCTACCTCACACTGTGAGGCCTTCTCTCACAGACTGAGACCTTTCTCCCACTGAGGCAAACTAACACAGAGGCCTACTAAGCTACAGGCACACCTGTTTATATTGAACTGCAGCTTTTGCTGAGTCATTGCATCCATCTAACCCTTTCAGTGCTTGACTCACATTTTTGTAATTTAAAATACCTACTTAATTTTTAATATTTCTGATAGAAAGAAGGGGTAAATGCTACAAATTACCAATTTTTATGCGTTTGCCCTTCATTCCCAAACTCACATCTATACTTACAGAGAAAGAAGCAGTTCTTCGGGTGTAATACCAACTTCTCCAAGTCCGGCTCGTAAGAGAGAAGGGTGCGTCAGTAAGGGGCACTCGCCCATGATGTATTCTCCGTCCACAATAACGTTGTTGAGCTCATCATCATCATCTGAGCAGGTTTCTTCCTGTGCTCTGTCTTGGGAGAGCCTGGGATGGAAAAGATTCGGTGGGTGAATCTACATTGTAGAAATAATACAATTTGATCATGGCTCAATGTTATGGAAACCTGGGATTTGTAGTTAGGTGAAGCACTAGCACACTTTGGTAGAGCCTAAGAACGCTGGTGTCTCCCATGGTCCTATATAGCATTTAACTGTGGTAGTTAAAGTAGTGTCAAACTATTAATTCTACAGTGTAGATCAGGGGTGTCAAATTCATTTTTAATTAAGGGCCACATCACTCTTATTATGGTTGCCTTCAAAGGGCCGTTGAATCTATGGACGGAGAACCCGCGGATACAGAAGGCCAAATGTAACTCCCTCTATGAGCCGGCAAGGAGATTAAGATTGTCTGGAGAGGCCCTGCTCTCGGTCCCACCTCCTTCGCAGGCACGGTTGGTGGGGATGAGAGACAAGGCCTTCTCGATGGCCCCTCAGCTGTGGAACCCCATCCCGAGTGAAATTAGATCAGCCCTCTTTCTCTTGGCCTTTAGGGAAAGGTTAAAAAGGTGGATGTTCGACCAAGCATTAAATGAGTAATCTATCAATGCAATTAATAAGAAAAGATGAAATAGTGCAATGACAAATTGCAACGGCCACAGACTACAATATTGGATTGTGTGATTTTTAAATAATTGGTTTAAGGTTTTATGTTTTAATGATTGTTTTAATACTTATGTTTTTATTATGTGTGTTTTTAGCATCTAAGTGTTGCCTATATATGGAAGCTGCCTTGAGTCCCCTATGGCAGTGGTTCTCAACCTGTGGGTCCCCAGATGTTTTGGCCTTCAACTCCCAGAAATCCTAACAGCTAGTGAACTGGCTGAGATTTCTGGGAGTTGTAGGCCAAAACACCTGGGGACCCACAGGTTGAGAACCACTGCCCTACGGGGTTGAGAAGGGTGGGGTATAAATAAAGTAAATAAATAAACAAACAAACTATAATTCTTTTTACATAGTGGCTGGTGCTCTTTAGTTTTTACCTAATTTGAGTCCCCAGGTGCTATTGAACAGCAATGCCCATCACTTTTGATTATCCATCACGCGGACTGGGGATAATGGGAACTGCAACCCAACAGCACTTGCGGCTTTGCGGTTGGGGAAAGGGTAAAGGACATTTTCAAGTCAGACATCATATCCACAAGCTTTGTATCTAAATTCAAACCACACTCTCCTGACTAAACAGAATGAACTGCTGCCTCCCAGATGTTACTGTATCACAACTCCCATCAACTCTAATCGTGTTGTCTTATTATGAAGAATACAGGAGGTGTGGTCCAGCATCTGGAGGGCCACATAAAATGACATGGTGGGCTGGATTTGGCCCGTGGGCCTTGAGTTTGACACCTGTGGTATAGATGCATCCCATGTGATAGAAGTTTTTCTGGTTTCCCTTAACTCAATTTTCCAAATCACTCGGTCACCATGATTTGCCGCTACCTCTGTTGTAGCTCTTTCAGGCGTGAATAGGCTTGCTGCCATTGGGGGTCTTCGTCGTGGATAGGGAAGCCATTGGTGCTGTAGATGTGGTCATTTTCCAAGCTAAGGGAGTTGAAGCGGGCAGCCATCTTGTCCTCTGAGAGGAAGTGCTTGGAATTGGGCTCCCTTTTGAAATGGAGAAAACAACATCAATTTAGTACACAATCCAGCTGCAGCAATTCTGCTTTGGGTTCATCAAGCCAAACAAAATATCCCTTAGGCTTATAAGCACGGTCCAGCATGAAGTGTAACAATTGGTTATGTAGAAGTGTTTAAAAACATTACTTTCAAAATTCAGTGTAGCGGTGCATTTGCAGAATTGGGTGATTACATTTGCTGTATAATACCGTCAATATTGTCTAATCTGTTTCTAAAAGATGGATAGTATTTTAGCAGCTTAAAAAAAGATCTGTGGAAAAACAAGACCATGGGATTCTAATAATCATACCAGCAGTTCCCAAACTTTTTTTTTGTCATGGAACCATTTCAGGAGTTATTTATTGTCCATGAAATCTTAACTCCATCCTTGATATGTTCAATCAAAACATATATTGATCTTTTTGTGCTAATTCAGTTACATCTACATTGATATTCTATGGATATCCCTAAATCCAAAATGTCTTCAATCTCAAAAACTGCACAAGAAAGAATTAGAAAAAGAAAAGAAACGTGGAATCAACATGAAAACCTGACTATGTATGATGTTTAAACATTTAGCTAGCAATTATATACCTCTTAGTAATAGTTGTAGCACCAAATATAGCTTTATGGAGATTGTAAATCAAGTAATTTGCTTCGTGTGGTTTTATTCAGTACCTGTTTTAAATTTGATTTGTAAGATTTTTCATGCAACTCCTATGATACTTTTGTGGAACCCTAGGGTTCCATGGAATAGTTTGGGACCCTCTGCTGTATGCAAAAGAAGAAAGTTTACAAAGAAGAACTACAGACCACTGTCACCATAAAACATATTTCCTATCCAGACCATTTCCCCTTCATATTCTATTCTTTTCTGACTTACTGATCTCTGTGCTCCAAGTGGCGTTTGAAAGTGAGAGGTCCTGGGCGGCACCTAAAAGAAGAAGGAGGAGTTGCGTTCAAGAGTTAGATATTTCCCTATCTGCAATCACTTGCACTATCTGCAAGTCGCTTCTGGTGTGAGAGAATTGGCCGTCTGCAAGGTTGTTGCCCATGGGATACCCAGATGTTTTACCATCCTGTGGGAGTCTTCTCTTGTGTCTCATGAGGAGCTGGAGCTGTCAGATGGGAGCTCACCCCACTCCTCGGATTCGAACCACTGATCTTTAGGTCAGCATTCCTGCCAGCACAAGGGTTTAAACCATTGTACCCCTGCGAGAAGTTTCTCAAGTTGCTTCTGACACACACATACACCACACAAATCTGCACGATCAAATTGTGGCAGTTTGATATCACATTGACTGCAATGGCTGCAACTTGCAGATTTGTGTTACAGTGAAGCACTAGAGTTCCATAGCAGAGAATTCTAAATATCTCACAAAACCACAGATCTCAGGACTCCATAGGATGGGGTCATGATGGTTAAAACACCATCAAAGTGCTATAATTGTGTAGTGTGAAAAAAACATCCTAACCACTGGCGTATTTTTATTTTGCTAAAATTAAAATAGCCACTCCTCTCTTCCTTGTAGCTCATAAAAACCACAGGTTTGCAAGGCCTTCCTTTTTCAACAATTCTCCCCATATTAACCCTCTCCTTCCCTTTCCCAAAAGCTGCCTTATCTTCCTTTTCCTTATACTTAGGAGCAAAATAGCTCCTAAGTATAACTCCTCATGCTCCTCATGCTCTATCTATACTGCCATATAATGCAATTGTATTATAAGGTCAGGGTAGACCAATAAAATATACTTTATTTATATTCCGCTCTAACTTCTCAAGGGGACTCAGAGCAGATTACACAGTACATGTATGGCAAACATTCAATGTCATTATACAATTGGAAACAAAGACAGACAGTACATAAACAAAGGCAAGGCTTCCCTCTTTTTTTCATCTCCAGCATCTGGAGGCTGTGCTCGACCACACCAAGGAGCCTGTTGTCCATGGGCGCCTTCCTGATCAAATTTCCGGCATGTCTTCAGAGGTGTCTTTTATCTACACGCCAAAGCGGTACCTATTTATCTACTCACATTGTTGTTTTCGAGCTGCTAGGTAAACAGAAGCTAGAACTGATGGTGGGAGCTCAACCCAACCTGTGGCTGAAATTGCCAACCTTCCGGTCATCAAGATCTTTTTGTAGCTGGCAATTCAATGCAGTTAAACTGCATTATATGGGTCAACATATAATGCAGATTCAAACTGTATTATATGGTAGCCTTATTCACACATACCCTGCCCATACCTGAAGGTAGGGATTTTTTTTTTGTTGCTCTCATAGAAGGAAGGATACTACTAGTGATATCATGGTGAATGGCCTCCTTATACTGGGTTTCAATAGTAAATCAAAGATCTTTTTGTTTTCCCAAGACTTCAAACAAAAATAGGCAAAGTTTTGAATGCATTTAGGCACTTCCTGGATTTTTAGTCGTATCAACAAAAAACTGGAAATTTCTACAAATGTCAATACCTTTTGAACAGATCACAGACATTTCACTGTTTTTCACTCAAAATCGATAAATACAAATGGGAAAGTTAGGATATTTTTTCAGTCTGAATAGGCTGTATGGCTCAAGACTCCTGGAACATATACATTTCTCTTTATAAAGTTTTTAGTTTACCGAGCTTTATTGAATTAGTAGTTGTATCACCATTTTTGCTTTCTTAAACTAGGCTTTATTGTAAAATTCCTTTAAAAGACTGCACAGGTATCTGTAATAACTAAATAGCTCTGCTGCAAAGTTGCGAACATAGCGGTCTCTGCATCCTTCCTACAACCTTTAGAGGAGGAACTAATCAAATGATATAGACGAAGTGGGAAAATACAAACAAAGGTGTGCATTTGCTTGTTTGGATTAGTCCAAAAGCTTCAAACGTGTAGATCAGAGCTTTCCAAACTGTGCTGCAACACATTGTGTTAGTTGCAGCATGTAGATATGTCACATGAACATAACTAGACATCTCTGAGTCTATGTGAAATAATCAATAAACCATATCTTTTTAAAATGAAGGGTTTACATGAGATATGTTGAGTCTCCATACATTCCATTACTACAATTTGTGATGTGTATGTATCTCTTATAAAGGGTTGGTTTAACCCAGGCATGGGCAAACTTGGGTCCTTCAGGTGTTTTGGACTTCAATTCCCACAATTCCTAACAGCCAAAACACCTGAAGGGCCCAAGTTTGTCCATGCCTGGTTTAACTTCTGATTGGCTAGTAAAACTGAATTACTGTGTTTCAAATTGATGCATGTCTACAAAAGTGTGTCGTCAACATGAAATGTTTGGAAAGCTCTCATCTATATAGGTTCATAAATACCAGGAGAGCGAGCACTATTCAGAAGCCATTCTTTTCCTAATCCATCCAATAAGATAGATCCATCCCGGAAATAGCTTCATGTCATAAACATACCGGGATCGTTGTGTACCACTGAAGTTCACCACTCCTTGGCTCGTCCTGAACCATGTCCCTTTGCGTGTCATGTCTCGTTGCCAGCTGGAGGCACGGCCATGGCTCCAGCCCCTCTTCCCGGATAAAAGGGAGCAGCGCTGGGGTGGGCTGGATGGAAGCAATGTGGCCGATGGGTCACCAGGTGTTGGATCCATCTGTGAAGTAAAAGGTAGAGAGGAGATGGTTAAAATAAGGTTCTCCTCTCCTACAGAGGTATGATAAACATGCCCTCAAATTGTCAAATTTGGCAGTGCTGGCTCTAATTAATTCTTTGTCATTCATCTTACCCAATCTTGGATGTGCATACAGAGTCTCACTTATCCAACCTTCGCTCATCCAACGTTCTGTATTATCCAACGCAGTCTGCCTCCTGCCCGGATCCATAGTTCTTTCATTGAATAGCTTTGCAGCTTCAAATCCTAGCTGCTTCCTGCCTGAGGGAATCCCCTGTTGGGAAGTGATTAACTGGCCCTGTCTGCCTCCCATCTGGAACTCCCCCTTTTTTTGAGAGCTCCTCTTCATTCACTGTCCCAATCCTAGGGTCTCTTAATACTGGTACCCAGATTTTGCTCCTCCCCATGGCCTCCTCCCCTCTGCTCAAATTGTCCACATGCATGTGGACTTCAATGGCCTCCCTGTGCAGTCCGACATGGCAGCTGCCAAAGTGGTCCAGCATTTCTGTGCTCCTAAATAACACGCCATGTCCAGATTGGCCCACCAAGTGCTCCACCACCGCCCACCTCTCTGGTTGAACCAGTCTTCTATTGAATATAGCATACATGGTGATCCTATAGAGCTGTGCACTTTAGGAGATTTATGGTAATGCTGAAGTTTCTTCACTGAAGTTTCTGGGTGTGAAAAGAAGGAATGACAGTTTGAAATGTATTAAATTCATGGCCCAGCATCTCCTATTCAAAACCTCATTTTCAACTGCAAAGGTTTGGCCAAAATGAGAAACACTGGAAGTCCTTTTATATCTTGTTGAACTCTCCCCATCATATTTGACCACTGGCCCTGCTGGGTGAGGCTAATGGAAATTGGAGTTCAACATCTGGACAGCCATTGCTTCCCATCCCTAGACTAGACCTTATGTTTATCTAAGGCCCCCTTTACATGACAATATAGTCCAGATGATCAAAGCAGATAATCCACATTATCTGGTTTGAACAGGGTTGCATTTACACTGCCATATAATCCTGTTCAAAGCATATATATATGAATTTTATATGAAAGTAGAAGGAGCCTAAGAACTTGCATCCATACACACCAAGTATAGTCATTATTATAATTATTATTAATACCCAATTTTTTCTCTCTAAAAAGAGACTCGGCTCCCTTCTACACTACCATTTATAATCCAGATTATATAATTTGAATTGGATTATATGGAAGGTGTGGACTAATATAATCCAGTTCAAAGCAGATAATGTGGAGTATTTGCTTTGATAATCTGGATTATATGGCAGTGTAGAAGGAGCCTTGATGTTGTCTTACTTCAGTTGAAAACAAGTGAAGTAACACTTGCAAGTACATAACTTTTCTGGCTGGACTGTTACCGTATCCTTCACTGCTGATGGTTGTAAAACATTAAGGCATGATACCAGAATAGGTCACACTTGAGCCAAACAACAGTTGATGCTTGCAATGGACTGAGTGGGCTATTTTAGTGCTGTATGTTTTTTTAATGTTCGGATGCAATGCCTGTTTTGCTTCAAGGAATACTAATGTTATGGCATAAATGGTGTGCTTGGAGAAGAGGAAAAGGAAGGGAGGACACCTAACACCTAGCCCACTGAAACAATGATAAACTGCAATGATTAGAAGAGGAAAAGAATAATATATGGACAGTGGACTGTTGTTATTTGCTACGGTTTGGTTTCATGTTGCACCGTAACATGGGCTGCCATAAGGTCCACAAAAACTGTTCCTATGCTGTCACGCGCTGGGCCTGCGAAAGAGTCTGTAGACAGGACGTGTTTTCTGAATGCCCAACGGGACGCCGGGGGTGCCTCGGCTGAGAGGCCGTTCGGATTTCTCTACATAAAGTTATTTTAAAGACTTAGAAAGCTCAACAAAGTTTTTATTGTTACTTAAATCTTTAATAAATCAAACAAATACTTCAAGGCTTTGAATCAACTGGTGGCTTGCTTAAATCTTGTCCACAAGGGACAGGCAACTTTCTTCATAAACTGTTTCTTCCTTCTATAAGGGAAATCCTTGACCCCTTCTTGAGCAATCTATATTTAGGCTTTGCTGGCGTGGGGCCCCTACACCCGGTTCCAATTTGCATTATGGCTGCCGCAAGAGGTCCTTACCAAGCCAAAGTCTCTGCGTAGATTTTCAAGATGAAAGAAGTCCTTTGTTTCCCAGTGAAGGCTGGCTGAAAAACCGTGGAGCTGTATTTCTCCAGCAAAGAGCTGGCTGTAGAGTTGTGGAACTAAATTCCCCAACAAAGGCTATGCTGTAGTTCTCGGTATTTATTTGTCGTGTCAGGGCAACCAGTCAATTATATTACATTTCTAACAGAACAAAGCAAGCAAACAGACAAAGTACAAAATTTGTGAGTTTGGTAGTTGATTAAATGTCCTTTTACCAGTAGCTGCCCACTGCAAGTGGCAGGGCTCAGGTTGCATTGCAGCAGGTGGTCAGTGGTTTGCTCTTCTCCAAACTCGCATGTCGAGGATTCCCCTTTGTAGCCCCATTTCTGAAAGTTGGCTCTACATCTTGTGGTGCCAGATCGCAGTCTGTTCAGTGCCTTCCAAGTCGCCCAGTTCTCTGTGTGCCCAGGGGGGAGCCTCTCATTTGGTATCAGCCATCGGTTGAGGTTCTGGGTTTGAGTCTGCCACTTTTGGACTCTTGCTTGCTGAGGTGTTCCAGTGAGTGTCTCTGTAGATCTTAGAAAACTATGTCTTGATTTAAGTCGTTGACGTGCTGGCTGATACCCAAACAGGGGATGAGCTGGAGATGTCTCTGCCTTGGTCCTTTCACTATTGGCTGCTACTTCCCGGCAGATGTCAGGTGGTGCAATACCGGCTAAGCAGTGTAATTTCTCCAGTGGTGTAGGGCGCAGACACCCCGTGATAATGCGGCATGTCTCATTAAGAGCCACATCCACTGTTTTAGTGGTGAGATGTGTTCCACACTGGGCATGCATACTCAGCAGCAGAGTAGCATAGCGCAAGGGCAGATGTCTTCACTGTGTCTGGTTGTGATCCCCAGGTTGTGCCAGTCAGCTTTCGTATGATATTGTTTCTAGCGCCCACTTTTTGCTTGATGTTCTTGGTAGAGGTGTGGGACTGGATCCCCCAGCAAAGCTGTAAAAGACGAAGCTTTCTACAGGTGGAAATGATTCACGTCCTGTACAATAGGCTTCTCTGTGTGAACTGAACAAGAGGTCCCCTTTTCCCCTCCTTAACCCAGAAAAAGGAGCGGAACTAAACAACATAATAATTGATGGGTCATTGGCCCTATTATTGCAAACCATGGGAAGCCACCTTATTGCAAAATGCATGGAACTTTGGAATACATACAAACACTACCAGCACAGTTCCTGTAATGCAACCTTTCTCATAGCCTTCCTTGATCTATTATGAATGTATTGTTGGCATGTCTTTCTTTCCAAGGTTCAGGGTCTAAAAAGGGTCACATTAGGAGGTAGGCCTTTTGAGGGCAATTCAGGACAAGGCCTCTCTGTCCTGGCCTGACTTGGGCCTACTAATCCAGGCCCACGCCCACAGAAAGGCAAGCAATAGGGATCCCAGCGTGCTTTGCGCTCCAGGCGGCCATTTTAAGAGAGCCTTAGCAACATCGACTTCATACATTCCCATCACGGTGGGCGTGTCTATCCTAAGAAGGGGCGTGGCTTTCCCTGCCATTGAAGCGCGTTGCTTCTCTGCGCATGCGTCATGCAGAGGAGGGAAACGCGGCGCCACCAACGGTTAGTACAGGGCCTAGGAAGGGGGATGTGGGCCTACAGGTCTCTTATGCGCATGCGCCGTATGATAAGGCAAGGCTTTTCTCATTCTTACCGTGCAAATACGATTTACGACTCTCTTCTGGTTGGAGGAGTCCTCTCTTTGAAGCCGGGGACGAAGCGGCGTAGGAAAGTAGCAACAAAATGCCTTTTTGCAATCACGTGACAGAATGTAACTCCACTGCGAGGTAGCTTGGGAAATGTAGTCCCAACTGTCGCTTCTTCCCCGCCCCCGGGTAGGGTATGGCTCTGGGAAGACTACGACTCCCGTGATGCCTTGCGCTCCTGGATTTTCTCTTGCCTTACTTGCCCATAGAGATAGAAAGTGAAGAATGCTGTCTGGAATTGGTTCTGAATCTTCTTGGAGAGCAAATCAATTCTGTGGTTGTTTTGGTTTGCGGGGAAGGCGTGAATAAATGGATATGGTTTCTTAATTTTTGAAATTATTAGTATCTCTGGACAGGAAATTACTTAAAGCAACAGTGTCTCATTTTGTTCCTCCAGGTATTTTGGACTTCTTGCTCCCAGGATTCCTGACTGTTGGCCAAGATGGATGGGAATTGAAGTCCAAAATAACAATTGAAACAATTGACTTAAAGCAGGCATGGGCAAACTTGGGCCCTCCAGATGTTTTGGACTCCAACTCCCACCATTCCTAACAGCCTCAGGCCCCTTCCTTTTCCCCCTCAGCCGCTTAGCTGAGGGAGAAAAGGAAAGGGCCTGAGGCTGTTAGGAATGATGGGAGTTGGAGTCCAAAACACCTGAAGGGCTGACATTTACCTATACCTGACTTAAAGCATCTTACAACACATAAAGCAAAGGTATTTTAATAGTAGGTAGACTCAGTAACTGTTCTGTCGCCACTGGAGCTGGAATTAAGTGCTTTTAAGAGAGAATGTAAGGCTTGCGTCCAGCGGGAAGCCAGGGGGCCCGAGAAGGAACCCTTTAGAGAAATTTCCCTTATTAAACAGGCTTTAGGAGGCTTAAGCTTAAATAACAGTCTTTTATTGATGAACAAACAGGAATTGAAATCAGATGTCTCAAACTTGTCCACAGGGAACAGGCACTATCTTCTAAAACTTTGTTCAACAGAAAAATTCCCCTTTATAGCTCCTCCCAGGCTGCTGTGAACCTAAACCTGACTGATTTGAGTCTGCTACCGGATGAACTGCGTCTCAGAACCAAGCAGACTTACCAACAGGCCTGAAATCACTTAGCTGAAGATTTGATGAAGAGCTGTTATTCCCTCCGGAAGTCCTCAGGGCTGTAAAGCTGTTTCCCTGGAACCTTTCGGGGATCTGTAGAGGGTCTTAAAACTGTTCTCCCCCAGGAAGTCTTAAGAGACGAAGCCTTTGCACAGGAGGACGTCTGTATACATCCTCTGCATTGGCTTCCTTTTGCTGAGACTAACTGAAAAATGGCCCCTTCCCTCCAAAAAGCAAAAAGGGGGTGGGACCAGGGATTCTAACTATAATTGATAGGTGGCTTACCCTATAGATGCAAATTATGACAGGAAACCACCCTGCTGCAAAATCCCAAGCCTAGGATTGCACACAAACATTTCAACAAAGCAAATAAATCTGAGGCTCCTGGAACAGCTGTTCCAGAACAGTAACTATTCTAAAGCCTTTGACTGTGTGGATCATAATAATTTGTGGCAAGTTCTTGGTGGTATGGGGATACCAAATCACCTTGTCTCTCTCCTGAGGAATCTGTACAAGGACCAAGTAGAAACAGTAAGAACGGACCATGGAACAACAGACTGGTTCAAGATTGGGAAAGGCGTACGGCAGGGTTGTATACTCTCATCCGACCTATTCAACTTGTATGCAGAACACATCATGCGATGTGCATGTGGGGCTTGATGAATGCAAGGCCAGAGTTAAAATACCTGGAAGAAACGTTAACAACCTTAGATATTCAGAGGATACCACTTTGATGGCCGAAAACGAGGAGGAGCTGAGGAGCCTTCTCATCAAGGTGAAAGAAGAAAGTGCAAAAGCTGGGTTGCAGTTAAACATAAAAAAACCAAGATTATGGCAACCAGACTGATTGATAACTGGCAAGTAGAAGGAGAAAATGTAGAGGCCGTGACATAGTTTGTATTTCTAGGTGCAAATATTACTGCAGATGGAAATCAGAAGATGCTTACTTCCTGGGAGGAGAGCAATGACCAATCTCAATAAAATAGTGAAGAATAGAGACATCACACTGACAACAAAGATCCACATTGTAAAAGCAATGGTATTCCCCGTAGTCACCTACGGATATGAGAGCTGGACCATAGGGAAGGCTGAGCGAAGGAAGATAGATGTTTTTGAACTGTAGTGTTGGAGGAAAGTTCTGAGAGTGCCTTGGACCACGAGAAGATCCAACCAGTCTATACTTCAGGAAATAAAGCCCGACTGCTCACTGGAGGGAAGGATATTAGAGGCAAAGATGAAGTATTTTGGACACATAATGAGAAGACAGGAAAGCTTAGGGAAGACAGTGATGCTGGGGGAAATGGAAGGAAAAAGGAAAAGGGGCTGACCAAGGGCAAGATGGATGGATGGGATCCTTGAAGTGACTGGCTTGACTCTTCAGGAGCTGGGGGTAGTGACGGCCTACAGGGAGCTCTGGCGTGGGGTCATGAAGAGTCTGAAGCGACTGAATGAATGAACAACAAAGACTCAGTAACAGTTTTAAGCATCCCTCCCTCATAAATTCAAGAAGTTAGGAAACTCTTCTCATTGATCCATTTATCCCAGTATTGTCCATACTAATTTACAGCCACTCTCCAGAATTATAGGCCAGATTATTTCCAAAAACTAGAGATCTCCAGGCTTGAGCTTGTTCACTTCCCCAAACCAGTGAAGACTAGCATATTTAGGGTGGTACTATTGACCTGACTTCTCATCCCACCTTTTGCCAGATGAATATCCAGCGATCCCTTGAGCTGCTGCACATGACCGTCTACTCCCAGAGCGTCTCGCCTTGTGGAAAGTATTTAGCGGCTGGGAACAATTATGGAGAGATTGCCATATTCAGGTAGCTAGTGCCTTCTTAACACAAAGGATGTTTTTGGGTGAGACATTAATTTGAAATGATTTCAAGTTACATTTCATGGTCTTTCCTTGCTCTTTACAGCCTTTCAGCAGCACTGAGTTCAGAGGCCAAGGAAGAGAGCAAGAAGCCGGTGGTTTCCTTTACAGGTAGATCATTATGGTCAAGTGAATCCAAGCAATTCCTGTCATGTTTGTGACTGTTCAGATCTGACCCACCATGTCATTTATGTGGCTCTCCAGATACTGGACTACAACTCCTATGTTCCTCATCATAATAATCATATCTAGAGCTGATGGCAGTTGTAATACGGTAACACCTGGAAGGCTGCAGTTTGTTTAGTCAGTGGAATGTGGTTTGAATTTAGATACAAGGCTTGTGGATATGATATATAATGGATCATATGATTTTAATTTATGTTTTTAATGGGTTTGGTTTTAATGTTTTTGTTTATTTGCCATGTATTAATATATGGCATTGAATTGTTGCCTTTGAGTCCCCTTCAGGGTTGAGAAGGGCAGGATATAAATGTAGTAAAGAAATAAATACATGTCTCACTTTAAAATGTCCTTTAACTTTTCCTCACCCTGGGAGCCACAAGTGCTGTTGTATTGCAATTCCCATTCTCCCCAGTCCACACTGCTAATGATCAATGTACTTATTGGCATTTAATATTTGCCTTTTATGTTGTTGGCTGCTCTGAGTCCCATATTGGGAGATGGGGCAGGATATAACGTTATTGACACAAAAACTTAGTATGTCACAGCAAATGAGATCTATATGCTGGATTTCCTATCACAAAACCACAAGTTGAATACTTCCCAAGCATCTAGGACTGTGTGATGTATTTTTGAATGATGTGCGCAGATCCAAGTAAGGTGGCCTTTTTCAGTTGATAGATCGTGATTTTGTTAATGATGATGATGATGATTATTATTATTGTTATTACAGAAGTGATGGGAGTTGTCGCTCAGTAATTTCTGGGGACCCTAATTGGGTAAAAACTAAAAAGTACTGACCACTATGTAAGAAAAATATAGTTGGCCCCCTGTAGCCACACATTTTCCATCCATGGATTCAACGGCCCTTTGAAGGCAACCATAAGGCTGATGTGGTCCTAATGAAAATGAGCTTGACACTCTGAATTAGGTGCACAGCACCCCTGTAAAAGTGGAAAAACTACAAATTATATATATATTATATATAACCTCAGAGGACACTCAAGAATCACTAGAATCTCAACCTTTTGGTCCCCAGATGTTTTGTCTTTCAACTTCCAGAAAGCCTAACACCTGGTAAACTGGCTGGGATTTCTGGGAGTTGTAGGCCAAAACACCTGGGGGCCAACAGGTTGAGAACGACTGCTCTAGATCTTCCAGTGTGTGTGGTAATCTTCTGACAGAAGATTCCTAGTTATCCAGTAATAATCAAATTTTCTAGTTATCAAAAACAAAAGTCAAACCTGCAGATGTGGCCGACTGTATTTATTTGTTGCTCGTTTATGGCACTCTCAAGTATATTTCTCTTAAATCACATCCCAAGGCCTGGTGTGTCAGGCTGTGATGTCATTGAACAAATGCATAGAAGACTTGGTGTGTTTGGGGTTGGCATAATTTCCCTTGCAACCCTAATTTTAACAATTTAGAGTGAAGAGGAGACACATGAGGCCAGGGGAATACTTTGCTTTTTCAATTTGGCATCAGAGTATACTTCATCATGGGACTCCCCATTTCTGAGTAATGCAGTTTTTTTGCTGATTGCTCTTGGTAGGCTGAGGATATCCCTTGAGTCATCTCAGGGGGTTATTATGCATAGTTCACCATAAAGTCCACTTCTTGTTTCTGTAGCCCACGATGGTCCCATCTATGCCATGGTTTCCACAGACCGGCAGCTATTAAGTGCTGGAAACGGTGAAGTCAAGGCTTGGAATTGGAGTGAAATTGTGAAGAAGGTAAGGAAGGGGTTGGTTGACAGTCACTCACTATATTTCTCTTGACCTCTTCTGTTGTTTCATAACATCTATTTTCTATGTATCTTAGGGATGCAAAGAAGCCTGGAGCAGAAGGCCACCTTATGGGTATAACTCACATTCCTCCTTCATTGCTCTTTTTCTTTCCTTTTATAGATGTCCTGATTCATTATCCCTCTTTCATTTGCTTTTCAGGAGCAGCCTAGAGGTGCCAGAAATCAACAGCCTTCAGCTGAACCTCAAGGTAACAACCACAATGGTGCAGGATGGGAAGGTTTCAGCATGGCTTCTTCGGCTGCCTCACATTCACTGTTGTTTTCCTCTTTCAGGATAATAGTCTTCTAATGGCTGGTGGAGACTGTTCTATTCACATGATGGATCTAGAATCGGGAACCTTTACTGTGAGTACTTGGAGCCTGAGATGGACAATTTGTGGAGAAGATGTTCCATATCTCTTAGTTTTTGCACAAATTCAAACTGGTCTAATCTCTTGTTACTAAATCTGGATAAAGGGGCCTAGCCTGTCAACCTTCTCAGCAGATAATGGGTTTTTTGTGTATTTACTTTTTTTCCATACTCGGGAAGTAAAAAATTATTTTGAAAAAACTAAATTTTGAGAGTTTCAGGTTACTACAATGATATAATATCACAATGCCCTGTAATCATGGAACCCATACTAGCAGTTTAACATACCCAGACCTGGGAGAAAATGTTCTCTCTAGAAATGTTTCAGGTTCTCTATATTAGGGCTTCTTCAGTGTTTTCCTCTCGCAACCTCTTTCCACCCAAGAAATTTTTACGTGACTCCAGATACATAGGTATTACTACTACTACTACTACCTCTTCCTCCTCTTTCTCCTCCTCCTCCTCCTCCTCTTCCTCCTCCATATATTTATATCCTGCTTTATCTCCCCAAAGGTATAAAAGTCAAACATTCACTGATAATAAATCAATATTTCCAAGGCTTACTAAAACACACTGTTTTTCCTTTTTGTTAAGTACAGCTAAAGCATATTCTGCAGAATTCACTGTAAACACTGCACTTTGTAAATAAGTTGCAGTTGCCAAATTTTTCACAAGCTTAACACTGAGCTAAGGGGACCTCATTTGGGGTCGGGACTCACAGTTTAAGAAGTAGTCATTGGTATATGCTTCCCTTGGAAGTTTCCATCGAGCTAAGTTAGAGAACCTAGCAAATTCTTAGAGAGGATGCTTTTGTTACAATCTCTAGATCCTCTGATGTAAATTTATAGTATTTTTGGACCTGAAGTCAGATAATGAATGGTGTGTGATGATTGTATCTGTAGTTTCCTCTCATTGTGGTATAAACAGGAATATTTCCCACATTCTTACCATATAGGAACCTTCCTCAGCCAAGCATATGCTATGCTGCAACCATTTCCTCAGTGAACACTCAGCACCTCCATATAGTTCTGTTTACACCTCTTTCTCTGGTTTTAAAAAAACTGAGTATTTCCACAATTGGACTGCAGATATTGCATATCTTACTCAAGATATAGTGCAATACAATAGTACTATCCGATCCCCTCACTCCCCTTTGGTCTTCTCTGGAAACATTCAGTACTTTGGACCTGTGTCATGACTGTTTTCTAAGATAACAATTCTAGCTGGAATGGTATGACTATTTGTTGATTCTAGATAATTTTTAAGGCAAAATTTCTCCTCTTTCAAACTTATTTGAAGCCCCATGACCATAATTGTGTACCTTTTTTTCTTTTTAAATAATCTTTAGACATGGTTCCCAGGACTTTATGGAGTTGTTTTGCTTTCCCTCCCCGAGCATAATTTGTACAGTTCTGCAAAATTGAAAGCATTTGTCACCCACTTTTTCTGCAGTAGTTTTTGCATCAAATTCCAAAACTGTTTTGCTTTAGATCAGGTCCACCTAGTTGTTTTCTCACACCACAGTGTTATCTCCATGACCTGTTTGTTTAATCAGCCCCACTGCTGGCATGGCGGCTTTTAATTTCCTTTGCTCTACCTTGCTCCCAGCATGAATTTCAGGGTCACCGTGATTACATCCACTGCCTGGCTCTTCGGGAGCAGCTCCGGGAGTGTTTGTCAGGGAGCGAGGATGGCACTGTTCGGCTTTGGGGTAAGGACCTATGGTTTGGGGTTTCTTCCCAGTCTTTCATGAGGTTCTTAGTTACATGCTTTTGTATCTTGGGAAGTTTGTATTCAAATGTATATGCTTCCAGGTCCTTTAGAATGAGCTGCAGAGGCTGTACTGCACTTTCCTGAAGAATTCCTTAAATCTTGATTCTGTTCAGGCAGAGCCTTGTCAATGGTGGCCCCAGAGTTACAAATATCTGACTTACAAACAACTCATAGTTAAGAATGGGGGTGAGAGAACAGGAAGTGAGAGAAATCTACCCCTAGGAAGGGAAATGCATTCCTAAAAGAGTGATCATGGGGAAAAGGAGTCTCCACTGAAGCTTTAACTCCAATCCTTATTTCTACAGTAAGCCAAAATTTTCAGTGATCACAGGGAAAGTGAGGTGAAATCTTCTGAACAGGGGTACAGACTGCAAAACAAACACCTCAGGGGTGTTAACCCTTCTCTGGTTTGTGTTTGTGTGTCTATGGCTGAAGTTACACTTTAAAAAACGTACCTGCTCTGACTTGCATATAAATTCAACTTAAGAACAAATCTACAGAAGCTATCTTGTTCATGACTTGGGGGTTGCCTGTATTGTGGAGCCAGCTACACACAGAGCCTGGGAAAAAACTTTTTTGGATTACAACTGAACATGATGGCTACATAATTTTAGGAGTTGGGGACAAAAACAAATATTTTCCATAACTGAAAAGACTGCCAAAGCTGAACATGCAGGAATTTAGGAAGATAGTGAAAGAGGTGAGCCTTTAATCTAAGCTGTCATTCTCCATTATCTGGTAATTGCCAGTACACCTACACTTACTAATTTTACTTTTAAAGAATTGTGTTTTAGGTTTGACATTTACTTCATTATGTGAAGGAACTAACAAAACCCACCTCTGAGTAGTCCTTGCCTTAAAATCTTAAAACATACACACACAAGATGCTTTGAAATGTATTGAGAAATTTGATATTTATTCTACAAATATGATTTTAGAAGCTGCTTCCAGAATGTTTGGGGCAAACAAGTGCAACAGATGCCACAATTACACATTTGTTAATTGCCTTATAAAATACTTCCTAATTTCCTTTGGTCCATATGCTAGAGTTGTAACGATGGAAAGCTACACAGTTGGAAAGAGGAAGGAGGTTTTGTGTCTGCCTTGAGTGCTTTTATTGACAGAAAGATTAAAAATATTTAAATAAATATATTATGTTTCTGTTTTTCAGATTTACGTACTGGAAGCCAAGTCCAGTCCATTGAGGTGCATAAATATGAGGTATGATTATTCTCCTCCATCTTCCTGCAACTCAAGAGATTTGTTCTTCTTCGTGATTTTTAATCCCGCACCTGTCCATCTGCTTTCGTATTTTCAATTATTTATGAAATAGTCTTTTAACATGAAATTTCTGCTACGGAAAGAGAATGAGAGGAGTATGCAATTCATCCAAAGTCTAATTATTTCACATATGTAACTTCACATTTTACCGAAACAACACAAGCCTTCAGGGGAAATGGAGCATTACTCATTTCTGATCAGAGTCTTCATGTGTTGGGCTTGACATCCTTGCTTAACCAATCAGAGAGCCAATTTCCTCTGGGCATTTTCCCTTAACGCTCATCTCAACTCCCTTAGGAATGCAACCGGCCGCAGAATGGGAAGTGGATCCGTTGCCTGGCAACAGACTCCGACTGGATGGTAAGTGTGCCTGATTTCTGTCATTGAACGAGAATTGCAAGATATCCCATGGTGCACTGGGCTAGCAGTCATCCATCCTGAATGCTCAGTTCCTGGGCTTGAGTAGCCTAATGGGCCCAGCCAGCATCACTGACCTTCATGCTGCCTCCTTTGGAGAACCTTGTTCTGCCTATGTTTTTCTGAAATTGATGTTGAAGGCAAGGAACTGGAGATGTATACAGTCTTAGAAATGTGGGCAGCTGGGGATTCTGAATCTCTGTCTGTAGAATAAGCAAAGGAATTGAGGAGACAGTATGTGTCATTGTATTCTGACTGAATACCTTGGCTGCAAGTGGGAGGTTGTGGGAGTGAAGGGGCATCGATGTAGGGACACTCCAAATGCCCAAGCTTAGGAGTCCCCTCAATGGCCCAATGTACCTATGCAAGGAGGAAGCCATATGGTGGATTTTTACTACAAAGACTTTATTGTGAGGACATAGTCATATCAACAAACATGCACACAACAATGCAATCAAAGGGTTTGTCGCAACCTCCAATGGGGCTGCAGAGTTTTATAATTTTTAGCAGTAAATTGAATATACATTGTCATTGGTTTCCAAAGAGAAATCATTTCATTGGTTTAAGCTAGCTATACAGTTGCTCATTGATTGTTTATGATTTTGATTGAGGGTTTGGTCATCCTGAGGTGAAGCCAGACCCGTAGCCAGGATTTTGATTCGGGGGGAGGGGGGCTGAGTTTGATTGGGGGGGGCTGAGTCTGAGCGAAAGAGGGTCTACCCTAGCAAACCTTTTGTATCGTTACCCCAATACCCCCATGCATATGGGATATATTGAGTATGGTGATCACATCATGATATGAATAAACATAACAGTTTAAATAAAGCACCAATAAGGCCTTCTCGCAGACCACCATGAGAATTTGGGGGGGGGGGGCTGAAGCCCCCAAGCCCCCCCCCCCCCGGCTACATGCCTGGGTCCCCAACTGCTCCATTTTCCTTCCTGTAGGTGTGTGGTGGGGGGCCAGCGCTCACTCTGTGGCACTTGCGGTCAGTTACCCCTACAACGATCTTTCCCTTGCCCCAATGCCAGCAGCAAGTCATGTTCTACCAGGACCTGGTAAGTCTGTTGGGGAAAGCAACCTTCTCAAGCCTCCTCTATATGGTGTTTGTCTGTTTCGTAATGTGTCATTTTATAACCTGAAGTATATGTCTTATTTAACTTGCAGTTTCCTTATCTCTATATACCTTAAAGCAGTGAGAGGAGCTGCAGGTTATGTGACGGACTTAGTGACTGTTGAGAATGTTCAGGTTTAAACAGGATGACAGGGAATGGCTGTTGTGGAATGGCTGTTAGAGAAGTGTGTTGAACCTTGAATGGGCTTGACTATAGAAGCCTGTCAGAGTGTGAAAACTCACGTTAGGAAGTTAGAAACTGAGGAGGTTTGTGTTTATTTGAAAGTAAATTCTTACTAAAGAGAGCTATATAAAGCAACGTTGGAGCCCCCGGTGACGCAGTGGGTTAAAGCACTGAGCTGCTGAGCTTGTTGACCAAAAAGGTCGCAGGTTCGATTCTAGGGAGCGGCGTGAGCTTCCGCTGTCAGCCTTAGCTTCTGCCAACCTAGCAGTTGAAAACATGCAAATGTGAGTAGATCAATAGGTACCACTCCGGCGGGAAGGTAACGGCGCTCCATGCAGTCATGCCGGCCACATGACCTTGGAGGTGTCTATGGACAACGCTGGCTCTTCGGCTTAGAAATGGAGATGAGCACCACACCCCAGAGTCAGACATGACTGGACTTAATGTCAGGGGACTACCTTACCTTTAGACCTTGTTTAATGTTTATGCTATGTGTGTATGAGATTTATTTTAATTGCCTTGTATTGTGTTTGTTTTTGCTTGTATTGATGTATTGTGGGCTCGGCCTCATGTAAGCCGCACCGGATCCCTTGGGGAGATGGTAGTGGGGTATAAATAAAGTATTATTATTATTATTATGCTGGCCACATGACCTTGGAGGTGTCTACGGGCAACACCAGCTCTTTGGCTTAGAAATGAAGATGAGCACCAACCCCCAGAGTCGGACATCATTGAACTTAATGTCAGGGAAAAGCCTTTACCCTTTACCTATAAAGTAACATAGTTTATGAAGAAACTTATAGTTCAAGATGCACTCTGAATCATTACTGAAGTCTCTAACCCTCGGCAAAAAATGTGCCTGTATCTTTAAATATATGATGTTATCAGTAAACAAAACTTATCTTTAAAAAGAAGTCAGATTGCATCATTATCTGCTGAAAGCATCAAACAAAAATATCTACATGACCAGCGGTCATCCATTACCAGATAAACTCTGCTACTCCAATTAGGTTGTGATCCTAACAGTTTATGATCTATATACCCTGATGGTCAGTGATCCTAACAGGTCATGATCCATTATCCCCGAAGGCAGGATTTGTTTTCCCCTCCTTCCCTCCCTCCCTTTCTCTCCTCTTCTTACTGCATTGTCTTCCTCTGGACGCAAGATCTATATCGCAGGCAGGCTGTTAGGAATTGTGGAAGCTGAAGTCCCAAACTCCTGGAGGGCCAAAGTTTACCCATGCCTGATCCAGTGTCCCTTCTTTCTTGGTCCCAATCTTCACCGTCCTTTCGTCTTTTAATTCCTGAATTGCTCCCACTCTTGCTCCTTTGGGTTTTCAAGGAGCATGCAGCATTTTCCCCTACTCCTATTCTCTGGAAATATACTTTTTAAAAAGACTTCAACTCTCTATGCCATTTGGGGGAGACCAAAGTGTAGCTTTTCCAAGCTCTGCCCTTCCCACTCTTTCATGCTTGGAATTGCCTTTTACTTGTCTTGTATCTCACATATATTTCCAGTAATTCTCTCCCCCCCCCCCTTCCCCCCCTGCACCTAAATATATCTCCCACAGATCCTTTCCGCTGGCCACAGCCCAACCATCAACCATTTACAGATCAGCGGGGAAGTGAAGGCCCAAATCCCTTGCATGCTGCATTGTGTCCACTCTCTTTCCATCAATGAACAATCGCCAGAGCACAAGGTACGTTGTAAATTGGGAATCGTATGTGAAAAAGTGGGAGGTCGTATGGCATCCTGTTAGTGGCCTACACACATATATGCATGTCATTTTGTTTTGCAGAAGTTGGTATGCCCTCCCTCCAAAATACCCAAAGCATCTCTCTCTTAAGACTTGCTGTAGAACCTCAAAGCCACCAGTCCTGCAGGGCTATTCCATGGCTTGTGCCAGTGGTTCTCAACCTGTGGGTCCCCAGATGTTTTGGGCTTCAGCTCCCAGAAATCCTAACAGCTGGTAAACTGACTGAGGTTTCTGGGAGTTGTAGGCCAAAACACCAGGGGACCCGCAGGTTGAGAACCACTGGTTTAATCAGAGTATACAAGGTTTGAGATGTGTCTGGCTGTGTTCCCATAGCCAGAAAAGAGATGATCACATCACTGCTGAGTTCTGCAGAGTTCACCCAGAAGTCTCAGGTTGTTGCAATCATTTCTTATCTGGCTAGAGGCTTATCCGGCTAGAGGCAATCATTTCTTATCCGGCACCTCTCCAGTCTTCCTTACTCATTCTTTTTGGATGGAATGGTCATTTTAGGAAGAGGCAACAGTATCAGGGTCCATACCAAATACCCAGAGTGTGGTAAATGGTTCAGCCTTGCATAGGTTTACATGCGGAACAACTGTGCCACAGTGACTCATACAGGATTATAGCCATAGTGTCCTGTAAAAGGGAGGAGGCTTTTGTGAATTTAGAATCTCCTTGATGGTGTTCATAAGCAATTTTGAACAATCATTTTGAAAAATGTGAATTTGGAATTTGAAGTGAGACATGTAGAAGATGCGTTGTCGAAGGCTTTATGTCTGGAATCACTGGTTTGTGGTGAATTTTCCAGGATATATGGCCATGTTCCAGAAGCATTCTCTCCTGACGTTTTACTCACATCTATGACATGCATCCTCAGAGGTTGTGAAGTCTGTTGGAAACTGGGCAAGTGAGGTTTAGAATGTCCAGGGTGAGAGAAAGAACTATTTGTCTGCTGGAGGCAGGTGTGTATTTTGCAATTGAGCATCTTGATTAGCACTGAGTAGCCTTGCAGCTTCAAATGTGGGCGAAACGTCAGGAGAGAACGCTTCTGGAACATACAGCCCGGAAAGCTCACAGCAGCCCAGATGTAAAAGATCTGAAAGAAGAGGGATGTCCCTGGGACTGTGGAGGGGGCTTCAGGAGTCTTCAAACTACTGAACAATGTCTTCCTTGCTTTCTCCATCCCCAGGTCCTGACTGCAGCTGGAAGCAGCCACTGCATTGACGTCTTCACTAACTTCGGTTATCGGGCCTTTTCCCTTGCCTTCACCTAGTACTAACTCCTCTTTTCTCTTCTTTGTAGATAATTTCATATTTTTTAAAAAAATCTGAGTATGGATAAAAAGCACTGGTATAAAGCAGATCACCTTGCCAGATATCTCTGGGAATAAACAAGCAGCTCAATTATTGACTTGCCTTTAGTCAGTTCCACTAAGGAGAAAAATGCCCCTGAAACTCTATTCCACAGCATGCTTGCTTGGGAATGAATGACACATGTTTACAATTATGGTAGAGGCTTGGAGAGGTTAACTAGGCTGTATTGTTATGGGAGGAGGAATACTGGGAGCTGTAATCCAAGAGTCACTTCTCCAAATAATGTGTATTGTGTTAGTAGACCACCCATTTTTTGCTGCAAGCAGAAGCATTTGGTTGTTACATCAGAATACTTGTTATGTCACAGGATAATTTGTAAATAATTCAGATTACGTGCATTAAAATATTGCTTTTTTAAGATTGAGAAATGGACAGTTTGATTTCATGTGTTTACAACTTTATTCCTTCTTCCCTTCAAGACGCTAAAAAGGAGAATACACAATCCCTTTCTGTTTCTTATGAAACTCCGCTTCATATGTTATGTTGAGGGAAATAATGGGAAAATTCACTCAGTGAGCTTTTTGGCTGAGTGGAGACTCGAGTCCAGGTGCCCTGTGTCTGGCTGGGATGATGGGAGTCTTAATACTGGGGAGGGGGCACATTGAAGAAGCCTGCTGTATCCACCATACCATATTGGATCTTAACAGATTAGAGAGATGGGCCAAAGCTAACAAAATGAAGTCCAACAGTGACAAATGCAAGATACTCTACTTAGGCAGAAAAAATGAAAGGCAAAGAAACAAATTGGGGACACGTGGCTCGAGAGCAGTACTTGTGAAAAAGATCTTTGTGTCCTCATGGACAACAAGTTAAACATGTGCCAACAATGTGATGCGGTGGCAAAAAAAGCCAATGGGATTTTGGCCTGCATCAATAGGGGTATAATGTCTACATCCAGGGAAGTCATGCTACTCCTCTATTCTGCCATGGTTAGACCACACCTGGAATATTGTGTCCAATTCTGGGCACCACAATTCAAGAGAGATATTAACAAGCTGGAATGTGTCCAGAGGAGGGCAACTAAAATGATCAAGGGTCTGGAGAACAACCCCTATGAGGAGTGGCTTAAGGAGCTGGGCATGTTTAGCCTGAAGAAGAGAAGGCTGAGAGGCGATATGATAGCGTGTCCAATTCTGGGCACTACAATTGAAGAGAGAGATTGACAAGCTGGAAAGTGTCCAGAGGAGGGTGACTAAAATGATCAAGGGTGTGGAGAACAAGCTCTATGGGGAACGGCTCAAAGAGCTGGGCATGTTTAGCCTTCAAAAGAGAAGGCTGAGAGGAGACGTGATAGCCATGTATAAATATGTGAGAGGAAGTCATAGGGAGGAGGGAGCAAGCTTGTTTTCTGCTGCCCTAGAGACTAGGAAGCGGAACAATGGCTTCAAACTACAAGAAAGGAGATTCCATCTGAACATTAGGAAAAACTTCCTGACTGTGAGAGCTGTTCAGCAGTGGAACTCTGTCCCACAGAGTGATAGAGGCTCCTTCTTTGGAAGCTTTTAAACAGAGGCTAGATGGCCATCTGTTGGGGGTGCTTTGAATGCTATTTTCCTGCTTCTTGGCAGAGGGTTGGATTGGATGGCCCATGAGGTCTCTTCCAACTCTATGATTCTATGATTCATACAGAGCCTCACATACGAACCTGGCGGCAGCAGGAAACAAGGAGAATTGTCCAGGGATGATTTGCCTACTTGAAGCTACTCTATGGGTATTTTGGTTAGATTTGGTCCATACAATTTAAAGCTTTGGTCCCCCTGCCTTGTAAGGACTGGAATTATCTTCCCAGGGAAACTTGAAAAATTGAAACTGAGAGGAGCACTCTTGGGAAACAAGAGTGCTCCTCTCAATCTGACGCTCTTCTCCTAAGATTCTCCTGACTTGACCGTTTCTACGCTCTCGTACATATGTCCATCCTCCATTCTTTTCAGTTCCTCCAGATCTTCCTTATGTTCTTCCTTAAACATCCGAAGGGCTGCCATCATCTCCTCATAGGCACCATCATGTTGTGGCTCAGAATCTGGCATCAGGTATCTCATGGTGTTGGTCAGCATCACTTCAGCCTCACGGTGGAGGACCTCCAAGCCTAAAGACCTGTAGATGGCATTGTTGGATTTGTAGCGCCTGCTGAAGAGGTTCACAGATGCCAAGAAGTAGTGAGGGAGGCTCCCCTTGCTGAGGGTGTGGATTAGGAGCCTCAGAAGGGTCTGGATTGAGGACAGGAGCGTCTCCCATTGCGGCGCCTGAGGATAGATTTCACAGCACCACAACAGGATGGTCTACAAGAGAAGAGGGAAATGTTAGGCAGACTTGTGGAATCGTCTACACCTCACGATTCCCAAGGCTCTAGAGCAGGCATTGGCAAATTTGGGACCTCCGGATGTTTTGGACTTAACTCCCACCATTCCTAACAGCCTCAGGCCCCTTCCTTTTGCCCCTCAGCCGCTTAGCGGCTGAGGGGCAAAAGGAAGGGGCCTGAGGCTGTTAGGAATGGTGGGAGTTAAGTCCAAAACATTTGGAGGTCCCAAGTTTGCCAATGCCTGCTCTAGAGCATTGTTAGATTTTTGCTTTTATCAGCCCCAAGATTCCTAGTGATATTGTTTGCTCAGCAAGCTCACCTTGAGGTGGTAGGAAGTCAGGATGCTGCCATATTCTGGTGTCCATCTTGTCGTGTTGATAAACTTCAGCATCCGCAGAGCTTCCCCTCGGTGTCCCCCATCTGCATCAATATCTTCAAGAAGCCGAGTCTCCACACGGCTAAAACAGAACCTAACACCAGACCAAGACTATAAGAACATGGGATTTGCAATCAGTTACTGCAGTTTGAGCAAAGTCAAACAGCACATGTTTGACTGCTATGAAGTGAAATCCCAGTGTTTCCAGTGGGGTTAACTTCTGGGTAAGTGTGCAAAGGACTAGAGCCCAAGAGAATATTTACACTGTAGAATAAATGTGGTTTGTGATCTCTTTAACTGCCATGAATTATCGGAGGTGTAGTTGATTTCAGAGTGCTGGCACCTCCCCAAACTACAACTCCCAAGATTCTATAGCACCGAGAAATGACAAAAGTGGTGTTAAACTGCATTGATTCTACAGAGTAGATGCATCCTAAGAATGCATGCCCAGTGTGGAACACATCTCACCACACTAAAACAGTGGATGTGGCTCTTAATGAGACATACTACATTATCACGGGGTGTCTGCACCCTACACCACTGGAGAAACTACACTGTCTAGCCAGTATTGCACCACCTGACATCCACTGGGAAGTAGCAGCCAATAGTGAAAGGACCAAGGCAGTGACATCTCCAGCTCATCCCTTGTTTGGGTATCAGCCAGCACGTCAATGACTTAAATCAAGAAATAGTTTTCTAAGATCTACAGAGACACTTGCTGGAACACCCCAGCAAGCAAGAGTCCAAAAGTGGCAGGCTCAAACCCAGAACCTCAATCAATGGCTGATACCAAATGAGAGACTCCCCCCTGGGCACACAGAAGACTGGGCAACTTGGAAGGCGCTGAACAGACTGCGCTCTGGCACCACGAGATGCAGAGCCAATCTTAAGAAATGGGGCTACAAAGTGGAATCCACGACATGCAGTGTGGAGAAGAGCAAACCACTGACCACCTGCTGCAATGCAACCTGAGCCCTGCCACATGCACAATGGAGGACCTCCTTGTGGCTACACCAGAAGCACTCCAAGTGGCCAGATACTGGTCAAAGGACATTTAATCAACTACCAAACTCACACATTTTGTATTTTCTCTGTTTGTTTGCTTTGTTTTGTTAAAAATGTAATACTAATGTCTGGTTGCTCCTGACACAATAAATAAATATATACATAAATCCTAAGAATGACTGCTGAATGAATTCAAAGTACAAGGAAACAGATTCTATCTAAACTTTAAGAAGAACTTAATAGTGAAAGCTCTTTGGCCAATGAATATGCTACCTTCAAAGGTGATGGGGGGGGGGGTGTCTCCTTTTCTGTAGGTTTCTAAGCAGAGACTGCATGGCCATCTGTCAGGAGTGCTTCAATTATGTGTCCGTACATTTCAGAATGGGGTTTGACTGGATGTCTCTTCTGGTCTCTTATGACTCCACTGAAAATTTCTCATCTTAAAAGAGTATGAAAATCTGCTTTGAAATGGAATCTCTTTTAATTTTCAAAAGCAAAACACAGGAAGTGGTCCAACTCAGACAGCCAGCTTTGGATTGTGAAATCATTTCTGGATTTGTGACGACTAGATTTATTTGCTTACCTCCAATATCCACCTTTGGAGACCAGCTCAGGCCCAAGTTCTTGGACCACTCTGGCTTTCCGGAGGAAGTTGGCCTTTTCGTTGGTCAGGTCTCCGTCCCACCAGTCGGAAAGGTGGGTGAGGTCCTCCCGTAACCACTGGTTGGAGAGCTTGAAGGCCCCCAGGACGGCAGGCACCAGCCTCACTGGGACATTGTCACAGCCATCATTGAAGGTCAGTTGGATGGCTGGACCATCCAGATCCAAGGCCTCCAGTCTGAAACCCTCTATCATGAAGAAAAGAAATGTTATTCCAGGAATAAGGATTTTGCTTATTTAATATGACCTTAATTTTGTTACAGTGTTTCTTGAGGTGGAAATGCTTAAGATGCGACTCAGCTTCTAGAAAATCGTATACTGTACTTGTCAAAGTTTCACGTACTTGGCAATTTACTCCCCCCAAATAAATAAGTTCACCTCTTATGTGATGGTCTATCTTGGGAACTCGGGAAGGGAAGAGTCTTCGCTGGAATACTGGGTCTAGGTTGGGAAAGGCAGGAGGAAACTGCAGCGTTAATTTAAGAATCTCTGAATGGGAAATAACTGGAAAATAGCATGACTTATTTCATTTTCTTTGGACTCACCATTTTGCCGAGGATGGGTATATGCTGGTAAATTGGGAGGAAAAAGCAAAATAAAAAAGTGTTAAGAACAAACTTTCTAAACATTTCAAAGCCACATGTTAAGAAAGTCATTTAAAAAATAAAGCTTTTCCCCATTAGTGACAAACAATTTATTTTTTTCATGTCAGAAGTGACCTGAGAAACTGCAAGTCATTTCTGGTGTGAGAGAACTGGCCGCCTGCAAGGATATTACCCAGGAGATGTCTGGATGTTTTTTTTAAATGTTTTACCATCCTTGTAGGAGGCTTCTCTCATGTCCCCACATGGGGAGCTGGAGCTGACAGAGGGAGCTCAACCCATTATCAGATTCGAACTGCTGACCTATCCATCAGCAGTCCTGCCAGCACAAGGGTTTAACCCATTGCACCACTGCAAATGTGATATGGTTAATTCTACACCACTTTAACTGCCATAGTTCAATGCTATGGGATATTGGGAGTTGTAGTTTTGCAAGGGTTTTAACCTTCTTTGCCAAAGAGCACCAATGTCTCACCAAACTACAACTCCCAGGATTCCACAGCACTGAACCATGGAAGTTAAAGTGGTTTCAAGCCACATTGATTCAACAATGTGGCTTTAATCAGTATGAATCAATCCCTTTGGTTCAGTATTTAAAGATACACTTTCAAAACAAGAGTGACAACCTGAGCTTCTCTTGAAGGGTTACATGTTTTCTCACTGTGAGCAAAAAAAAAAAAGGAACCCCCGGTGGCGCAGTGCTGGCAGGACTGAAGACCAACAGGTTGCAGGTTCGAATCCGGGGAGAGGCGGATGAGCTCCCTCTATCAGCTCCAGCTCCTCATACGGGGACATGAGAGAAGCCTCCCACATGATGATAAAAACAACAAATCATCCGGGCGTCCCCTGGGCAACCTCCTTGCAGACAGCCAATTCTCTCACACCAGAAGCGACTTGCAGTTTCTCAAGTGTCGCTCCTGACACGACAAAAAAAAAAGCAAAAAAAAAAAAAAAAGCCCTGTATGCCCAGAGTATCCCAGTCACCAGATGGTGAGACTTCTATGTCTGTGGATTATGGGAGATGCTACTCTGCTGTGTGAATTTCCTATGACAATACCTGGATTCAAGGCAGTTTCAACACAACGGTGCAAGTCCTTCAAGATTTCTTTAGGGTCCAAATTGTGGTGACTGAGGCTCTCCTGTAAAAAGAGATGGGAAAAATGGTTGTTGGGTTCCACAAATGGAGCTTTGGTAGTCAAAGTGATCATAAATTGCATTGATTCTACAGTGTAGATACACATCACACATTCCCACCCACATCCCCCACCCCGGGCAGGGGATGCACCCTATTGGGAGCATATACATTAACGCAGCGTGGCACTACTTTAACTACCATGGCTTGATGTTATGGAATCTTGATCTTGGAAGTTGTAGTTCCACAAGGTTTTTTACCTTCTCTGGCAAAGAGTGCTGGGATCCTAGGCTTCCACAGCATTGAGCCATGCCAATTAAAACGGTATTAAACTGCATTCATTCTACAGCAGTGGTTCCCAACCTGTGGTCCATAAACCACCAGTGGTCCGCAAGAACTAAAATATGGTCTGTTACTACACTGTTGCAATGAGAGTGACTAGTCTTGCAAAACCCTCTTATAGTGCCGAGGCTTATTATTAAATGTGGTTTTCTGTGCATGAGCAAATGGTGACTACTGGATGGCATATGTTCTGTATCAGAAACTAGAGCTGATGTGGTCTATCCAATGCAATTTTCTGAATCAGCACGGCAAATAAACTAGTTGACCAAAAACTGATTCGTAACCCCTTTGGTACTAATGCTGGAGAGTGGTCCCTTGAGTTTCTGATACTGAGAGGGAAGGCTAAAGGCCTTGTGAAACAGCGATTGTTTCAACTGGCATTGTGTTCTATTTATAAAAATGAAGAAAAAATAAATATAAAGAAATAATCAGAAAGTACAAACACATAAAAATAAAAATAAAGAATATGAAATAAAAACTAAACAAAAGTAAACTGAAACAAATGTAACAACAAATTAAAATAAAGGAAATAAAATAAAAATAAAGTTAAAATTAATAAAAAATAAAGTATGAAAGTATAATTGATAAAAATAAAGGAAATAAAGTAAAAAAATATTTTTTTTCATGTCAGGCGTGACTTGAGAAACTGCAGGTCACTGCTGGTGTGAGAGAATTGGCAGGGGATGCCCGGATGTGTTACGATCCTGTGGGAGGCTTCTCTTATGTCCCCACATGGGAAGCTGGAGCTGGCAGATGGGAGCTCACCCCGCTCCCTGGATTTCAACTGTTGACCTTTCAGTTAGCAGTCCTGCCAGCACAAGGGTTTAATCTATTGCGCCATGCCACCATCAGGGGCTCCCGTGAAGCAAATAAAGTAAAAACAAATAAAAATAAAGGACATACAGTAAAAATAAATTTTAAAAAAACAAAAGTAAAATTAAATTTAAAATAAAGGAAATAAATAAAAATAAAAATAAAGTATAAATAAAGAGGAAATAAATAAAAATAAAGTAAGACATTAATAAAAATATAAAGTATAAATTCATAAAAATGAAGCAAATGGAGTAAAATAAGTAATATTAATAATATTAATTTTACTCAATTTGCTTAATTGGAGCAAAATAATAAAGCTTAAAGTAATATGATTAGTATTAATTTATACTGTATTAAGTAATATTATTAATATAAAATAAGTAATATTAATAATACTACTTATTTTATATTAATAATGTAATTTATTAATATTAATAAAGTTTAAATAAAGTAATATTATTAATTTATAAGTAATAAGTAATATTATTGTTATTAATATAAAATAAGTAATTTAGTACTTATTTTATATTAGTACTTATTTTATATTAATAAAATAAAACCAAGGTGCTGGTTTTGACCTACAAAACCCTTTACGGTTCCGGTCCAGTGTATCTGTCCGAACGTATCTCCCTCTATGTCCCACCCCGGAATTTGAGATCATCTGGGGAGGCCCTGCTCTCGACCCCACTGCTATCACAAGTGAGGCTGGTGGGGACGAGGAGCAGGGCCTTCTCAGTGGTGGCCCCTCACCTGTGGAACTCACTCCCGGGGGAAATCAGGGCATCAACACCCCTCCTCGTCTTCAGGAGGAAGGTAAAGATGTGGTTGTGGGACCAGGCCTTTGGGCAATCTGACAATTAGATATGGACAACCAGATGGATGACAATTGTGGAATTGGAATTTGAACTATGAGATTGTGAAACGCTGACTGTCAATAAGGTTTGTATTGGTTTTATTGCTTTTATGGTTGTTTATGCCTGTAATAATTATTGTTTTCTGTTAATTGTTGTTATTGCTAGAATTGCTGTCTTGTTAATTGATGTTATTGTCTTTTGCTGTTATGTGATGCGGGCATCGAATTGTGCCTTGTTTTTGTAAGCCGCCCTGAGTCCCCCCCCCCTTCCCTCCCGGGGTGAGAAGGGCGGGGTAGAAGCAACCGAAATAAATAAATAAATAATATTACTTATTTTATATTAATAATATTACTTATTACTTATAAATTAATAATAATATTACTTTATATAAGCTTCATTAATATTAATATTAATTAATTATATTATTTATATTAATATAAAATAAGTAATATTATTGATATTACTTATTTTATATTAATTTAATACAATACTACGTATTTTATATTTATAATATTACTTATTACTTGTATATTAATATTAAAAATATGACTTTATTTAAGCTTTGTTCATATTAATATTAATCAAGCTTAAATAGAGCAGGGAATGAATGCCAGTCCTTACTTCCAGTTCCTCCAACTTGTCCAAGTCGGTCTCATCGTCTTCATCCTTCCGGCGCGCCTCCTGCCGATGGCAGTGGATCTCCACGTAGGTCTCGCCCAGCGCCTCCAGGTCCACGAGGGCTTTGGAGCCCCAGCGATAGATGGGCAGCCCTTCCTCGCGGAAGATGTAGGTGGGCAGCGCCTGCTTGGCCCGGGGAGGAGCCTCGGGAAGCCCCCCGCTCACCGGCGCCAGCTGCGGGTTGTATCTCACCGGGAGGAGGAAGTCGAAGCCGTTGGAACTCCCCGCCGCTTGAAGGTGCAGCCCTTCCACGTAGCTGCCGACCGGGACGGACTCCCCGGGGAAGAGCCCCGTGCTGGCTTCGTAGGCCCATTGGGACACCTTCCCCACGGCGCTTTTGACCAGGAAGAAGGCCCTCCCCGTCCGCCAGTCCTTGTCCCCACGAAGGAAGACCTGCTCCGTGTAAAAGCGATCCAGGTTCATCGCTTCGGGCCCAGTCTACACAGATGGCGGAGCTCCCCGGCTCTCCTTTTCCGTCCCAGCTTTCGCTTTCGCTTTGGGACCATTGCTGCCGGGTGGATTTGAAAGAGATCCCTGGAAGAACTTCTATATCAGGCATGGCCCAGCTTGAGCCCTCCAGGTGTTTTGGACTGCAACTCCCACCATTCCTAACAGCCTCAGGCCCCTTCCTTTTCCCCCTCAGCCGCTTCCGAAACACCTGGAGGTCCCAAGTTTGCCCCTGTCTGCTCTAGAGAAACTACAACTCCCAAATGTCAAGGTCTATTTTCCCCAAACTCCACCAGTGCATACATTTGGGCATATTGAGTATCCATGCCAAGTTTGGTCCAGATCCATCATTGTTTGAGTCCACAGTGCTCTCTGGATGGAGGTGAACTACAACTCCCAAACTCAAGATCAATATTAGCCCACAAAACCCTTCCAGTATTTTCTGTTTGTCATGGGGGTTCTGTGTGGGAAGTTTGGCCCAATTCTATCAGAATGATTGTACGTGAACTATAAATCCCAGGAACTATAACTCCCAAATGCCGAAATCTATTTTCCTCAAACTCCATCAGTGTTCACATTTGGGTATATTGAGTATTAATGCCAAGTTTGGTTCAGATTAATCATTGTTTGAGTCCACAGTGCTCTCTGAATGTAGGTGAACTACAACTCCAAAACTCAAGGTCAATGTCCACCTTCCTTCCAGTATTTTCTGTTGGTCATGGGAGTTCTGTGTGGCAAGTTTGGTTCAATTCCATTGTTGGTGGAGTTCAGAATGCTCTTTGATTGTAGGTGAACTATAAATCCCAGCAACTACAACCTCCAAATGACAAAACCAACTTCCACCTCCCCCCCCCCCCACCTCACCATTATTCATATCTGCATATTGAGTATTCATGCCAAGTTTGGTCCAGATCCATCATTGCTATCTGGATGTAAGTAAACTACAACTCCAAAACTCAAGGTCAATGCCAACCAAAGCCTTCTAGTATTTTCTCTTGGTCATGGGGGATCTGTGTGGAAAGGTCCCAAGTTTGCCCTTGCCTGCTCTAGAGAAACTACAACTCCCAAATGTCAAGGTCTATTTCCTCCAAACTCCACCAGTGTATACATTTGGGCATATTGAGTATTCGTGCCAAGTTTGGTCCAGATCCATCATTGTTTGAGCTCACAGTGCTCTTTGGATGTAAGTGAACTACAACTCCCAAACTCAAGATCAATATTAGCTCACAAAACCCTTCTAGTATTACCCTTCTGATGTCTGAGGTGGAGTATCCATTGGCCTGTAGAACCCAGTTTAGGTGGTTCAGTTCATCTTGGAGGAGGTGGGGTTCGCAGATTCTTTTTGCACGGTCTGCCAAGGCTTTAATGGTGCTTCTTTTTTGACCCAAGGTGGTCAGTTGAAACATTCACGCCTAGCTCCAGCAGACAGGAGTCCTTTGTCCCACCCTGGTCATTCCACGGATATGTGGACCCATTTTCCTACTTCCAACAGACCTCACTACCTCTGAGGATGCTTATCATAGATGCAGGCGAAACGTCAGGAGAAAATGCCTCTTGAACATGGCCATATAACCCGGAAAAACCTACAACAACCTACCATGGAGTTTCTTTTTTGCTCTGCAACTCCCAGAAAACTTGCTTGGTGTACCAGAACCCAGTATCCTAGGAATTTCAAAAGTTCATATTTTGGACTACCACTCTCTGAAAATGTCTTCCTTTTGGACATCAACTCTCAGAAAAGTTTTGTGTTTTGGATTACAGTTCCCAAACTGGTTCTGACAGTTGGAGACCAAAACAAGGAACTTTTCCAAGTTCTTCCGAAATGAGGTGTGGTCTGGTTCTTTTAGGGTACTTTGGCAGCTATACTAAACTTTTGGATTGTTTTGGATTCTCCATAAGGCATATTCAACTTGTCCCTTGATAAAAGAATGCCAGCCATATTTTGTTGTAG